ACCATCCCACCCCGCCCTAACCATCCCACCCCTGCCCTAACCATCCCACCCCTGCCCTAACCATCCCACCCCCGCCCTAACCATCCCACCCTTGCCCTAACTGTCCCACCCGTGCCCTAACTATCCCACCCCTGCCCTAACCATCCCACCCCTGCCCTAACCATCCCACCCCTGCCCTAACCATCCCACCCCCGCCCTAACCATCCCACCCCCGCCCTAACCATCCCCCCCTGCATTAACCCAGGAACACAACAAGCGCATGTCTATGATGGCCACTATGGACGAGATGCCCTTTGGACCGGAAGTCATGCAAGTCAAACACAGCCACAGGGAGCCTATCCTGAAAATCAACTTTATGCCAACCGTCGACCCCATCAGCAAATTTGTCGACTGGAGCTTCGGTTAGTTCCCAACTGCCACAAATATCATTTGACAATTTTATTACAGCGACATTTTATTTGATATTTTCTAAAGGTTTTTTTTTTGTTGTGAACACCTTACGGGTGATCCGATGCGTCGCGCAACATACAAGACAAACAACCACAAACGGGTTACAAACACAAGACTGAATGAAAACGAAGACTAAAATCATTGAATAATAAAATACTTAAAAAAAACTTTTTAAAAAACCACGTTTTTCTTGTGGACTAAAAAGTAGAAAATAACTATTTACATACATTTGATGACAAAAAACGTGGGTACGTTCACCATCAAATTTCCCGACCCATCTGCCCGACCCACGTTTTTTGTCATCAAATGTATGTAAATAGTTATTTTCTACTTTTTAGTCCACAAGAAAAACGTGGTTTTTTAAAAAAAATTTTTTAAGTATTTTATTTTCTCCTTTTTAGTCCGTTGCTACACATGAAAAACGTGGTTTTTAAAAAAGTGTTTATAAATACACGGACTAAAAATCTTGAGCGACCAGGATTCGAACCTGGGTTGTCGCGGCCACAACGCGAAGTACTAACAACTATACGATCACGGCCAGCGCGTTCACATCGATTGGGGCCGAAGTAACTGTGTCAATAGGTCTTCAGTCTTGTCGGTATCTTTAGAAATCATGTCCTCAATTTTATGGTCCTTGGGGCGTAATTAAATTAAGCTAATTACGGTCACTAATTGCTAGTTTTTATGATTGCATCTGAAATTGTTAGGCGAAAGTAGCATGCATGCCAAATTTCAGGTCTCTAGAGCAATCAGAAGTGGGCTAATTTTCGATGTCAATTTTAACAACAAACATTTGATGACATTTGATGACAAAAAACGTGGGTACGTTCACCATCAAATTTCCCGACCCATCTGCCCGACCCACGTTTTTTGTCATCAAATGTATGTAAATAGTTATTTTCTACTTTTTAGTCCACAAGAAAAACGTGTTTTTTTTTAAAGTTTTTTTTAAGTATTTTATTTTCTCCTTTTTAGTCCGTTGCTACACATGAAAAACGTGGTTTTTAAAAAGTTTTTAATATAGTTTATTTTCTACTTTATCTAATCACTTGATTAAGTATGACTTGACTAAGTGTTTTTAAATACACGGACTAAAAAAATCTTGAGCGACCGATACGCTTTAAACAGAGAAAGGGTGTAATTTACGTTGCTGGCGTGGAGATCTACTCACGAATCACGTGATCAAATCTCCCATAAACAAACAAATAAACGCGAAGCTGAGTTAAGGAAAAACGTGTTTATGTGTATTTTAGCATGCCCAGCGTACCAACCGTGTCACCGTTAACAATGTGTTACCGTGTCCGTTCTCCTTTTTAGTCCGTTGCTACACATAAAAAACGTGGTTTTTTAACACGTTTTTATTAACTCAGCTTCGCGTTTGTGGATGTGTTTGTTGTTAAAATTGACATCGAAAATTAGCCCACTTCTGATTGCTCTATAGATCTGAAATTTGGCATGCAGGCTACTTTCGCCTAACAATTTCAGATGCAATCATAAAAACTAGCAATTAGAGACCGTAATTAGCTTAATTTAATTACGCCCTAAGGACCATAAAATTGAGGACATGATTTCTAAAGATACCGACAAGACTGAAGGCCTATTGACACAGTTACTTCGGCCCCAATCGATGTGAGCGCGCTGGCCGTGATCGTATAGTGGTTAGTACTTCGCATTGTGGCCGCGACAACCCAGGTTCGAATCCTGGTCGCTCAAGATTTTTAGTCCGTGTATTTATAAACACTTAGTCAAGTCATACTTAATCAAGTCATTGGATAAAGTAGAAAATAAACTATATAAAAAACTTTTTTTAAAAACCACGTTTTTCATGTGTAGCAACGGACTAAAAAGGAGAAAATAAAATACTTAAAAAAACCTTTTTAAAAAACCACGTTTTTCTTGTGGACTAAAAAGTAGAAAATAACTATTTACATACATTTGATGACAAAAAACGTGGGTCGGGCAGATGGGGCGGGAAATTTGATGGTGAACGTACCCACGTTTTTTGTCATCAAATGTATGTAAATAGTTATTTTCTACTTTTTAGTCCACAAGAAAAACGTGGTTTTTTAAAAAGGTTTTTTTTAAGTATTTTATTAAAACGTTTTTTTTAAGTATTTTATTTTATCCTTTTTAGTCCGTTGCTACACATGAAAAACGTGGTTTTTTAAAAAAGTGTTTATAAATACACGGACTAAAAATCTTGAGCGACCAGGATTCGAACCTGGGTTGTCGCGGCCACAACGCGAAGTACTAACCACTATACGATCACGGCCAGCGCGCTCACATCGATTGGGGCCGAAGTAACTGTGCCAATAGGCCTCCAGTCTTGTCGGTATCTTTAGAAATCATGTCCTCAATTTTATGGTCCTTGGGGCGTAATTAAATTAAGCTAATTACGGTCACTAATTGCTAGTTTTTATGATTGCATCTGAAATTGTTAGGCGAAAGTAGCATGCATGCCAAATTTCAGGTCTCTAGAGCAATCAGAAGTGGGCTAATTTTCGATGTCAATTTTAACAACAAACATCCAAACAACCAAACAACCAAACAAACGCGAAGCTGAGTTAAGAAAAACGTTTTAATATCTACACCTAACACAGTCTATTCTAAACACAAAACACACAAGCTAGTCAAACTACGATACAGTGGCTAAATTCTAGAATAGACCTAACCTATACTAACCTTCAGTGTTTCTGCCAGACTCTGGTGCACTTGAATTTTTTTTTGGGGGGGGGGGGGGGGGGTGGGGACGGACACTGTTAAAAGTGTATATTTTCTAGAAAAATTCCATTTTGTTCGGGGGGGAGGGGGAGGGGGGGTGCGGTAGACTTTCTTCGAATAATTGCCTGGAAGAAACTCTGCTAACTTTGGAGATCTGGTTACTACAGTTCTTCTTATAGAATATTATGTAGGACCTTTTATAAGGTTTCAACAAAAGCAATAGTCGATACAGAAGAAACCGTAGCTAGGATATCTTGACAACAAACTGTACAAAGACAACGCCGAGATTTTTATCTAAGGGAAGTAACAAATAAATTAACTATACTTCTTAAGACATCAAGAGTTACTTCCCCTGAATTTTTTAAAAATCGATCACCGCATTAAACCATTCTCTCCATCAGGTAAATACATGGTGCTGAGTCGCGAGGGCCTGATGTCCGTGTGGTCCACCCGGATGAAGTTGCTCAACTACAACAACCTGGTGCCCAAGAGCCAGCTGGACACGTGCTGGTACATCGACATGGTCTGCATGTACCACAACGGCTTCATCTGCATCGCCACCACCGGCCGGGACCTCATCTTCTACGACTACACCCGGGCCGGCTGGTCCAGAAAGTAGGTCATCTTCTCGTCCCGATTTCTTTTAATTATTCCAACTGTCGTTTTGCTTGTAGAATTTTATTTTTTTAAATTTTTACACAGCAATGCATTTTTTAAAAAAAAATCAGTTTTAGTTCTTAATGTAGAAAACACAAAATCAGCTTTAAATGAAGTGAATATTGACCAGAGGCGTAGCGACCCTTCCCGGCGCCCGGGGACAAACTTTCAATTTGTCGCCTCCATCGGGAGCAAACCTTTCAATTTTTAATTTGCACCCCTCCTCACTGAGACTTTCGATTTGCACCCCCACCCATAAAACTTTTCTATATTTATAATGCAAAACTGCAGCTAAAATAAGATTTTAATTTGTTTTTCCAACCCATTTTGGCGTCCCCTAATGTCGGCGCCCGGGGACATATGTACCCGCACCCCCCCCCTCGCTACGCCTCTGATATTCACCAAGATTTTCCTTCAATAACACTAGTTAGACAGTAGAGAGAGCTGATGCTGGTTCAGGAAAAAGCGTACCTATGATATTTTAACATACTTTATGTTACACTTACAATTCATAACATCCAAGTATTATTTACCTACAGATATCTCACATTAATAAATAAATAAATAAATAAATTGGCCTACATTATACATATATATATATATATATATATATATATATATATATATATATATATATATATATATATATATATATGTATATATATATATATATACATATATATATATATGTATGTATGTATATATATATATATATATCTATATCTATATATATATATATATATATATATATATATATATATATATATATATATATATATATATATATATACATATATATATATATATATGTATATATATATATATATATATATATACATTGTATATATCTGTTGACAGATACTGGCTAAGGAAACTGCCCCACTGTGTCACGTGTCTGGGCTACTGGGCGGGGCTTGCCACGGAGCAGATTGCCGTCATCTTGTGGGGTGACACGTCAGGTTCTGTCAGGATGATCGAGTTCGAGTTGTCTCAGCGTCTGCCCATGTTTGGGATACCTGTACGTGAAGGTGAGAGATTGGGTTTCTCACTGCCGTATGCAGCACACTTAGTCGGCTACAGCAAATTCTCCTGTTAAACATAAAAGTCCTACACCACACAATCCCCCACACCACCCGGCCACCTACACCACACCACACCATCACCTATACCAAATAGTTACCCACACCACACCATCACCATACAGTTATCCACACCATATCAACACTTTGATGCTGCCTGGAATAGGGCTGGTAAGTAGGTCACCAACCAGTTCTACGGCTCAATAAAACCTGCATGAGCCATAGAACTGGGTGGTGACCTACTTACCAGCCCTATTTGATCTATTTACTTTCCACCACGGATGTATGGCTCGCTTCTTCCATTCTTCCATGACACCGACATTTTTTAAAACCACCCAATCACAAAGAAGATTTCAAATTGCAAATTTCAATATATCTCTCATTAAGCAAAATACCTCAGCTATATTAATTATAATTTCTTAAACACAAGTTTGAATGAACTTCGAGCAACATTCGTAAACAATATCAAAATTTTACCTGAAGTAATTTCTTTATTATTTTTTTCATCATTCTGCCACAATAGGGCTGGTAAGTAGGTCACCAACGGCTCGATAAATCCTGCATGAGCTATAGAATTGGTTGGTGACCTACTTACCAGCCCTATTATGTGTAAACAGACGTCCAGCTTTATAAGACAAACAGATTTAAAACTTAAAAAAAAAAATTATGTCCTAGGCTGTTCCGATATAACGTACCCTGAGCTAGCCAGAGGCGCATATGACGGTGTGACCTTTCGATCCTTCAATCAGATCCACAAAGACTGGGTTAAAGAGGTCAGTTGATTCTATTGTGTCTAATTTATGGTGTAAGTTACCGGTTTCATTCAAACATTTATACTTGAATAACTTATTACAAGAATAGATGATTGTTTTCTTGAAGAGAGATACACCAATGAGTTATAAACAAAACAAGTTAATATACACAACACGACTTGAGCTTATAAACAAACATATATCAAGGCAATATACAACTTTCGGATTTATAAACACACCTGTAGTTTAAAATGACACCAATCTAAACCCCGGAGTTAATAAACCCCTGTATGTGCTTGAACTTATACAAATATCTTTAACGAGCCGACCCGCTGCGTATCATACGCCGCTATTTAGTTGTTTTTTTTCTACTTTTCAGTAATTTATAATTTGTGAATTCGACAGTACCAATGCTGCCATTGAAAATATTTGCTTAAAAACACTACCCCCCCCCCCTCCCACGTGAAAGCAGCCTCCTCTTAGTTACCTCCTCTAAGTTTTAAAATCGTTTCAAACTAAATTATCTGCCCCTAATAGCCGTCACCAAACCCGTCTCTGTGATTGTAAAATGTAAACAGAGTGAACACCGCTCACCAGATCATGTGGGGGTGGGGGTGGGGGTGGTAGTGATAGTGATAGAGAGGAAGAGAGGGGACTGCAAAGGCGCGCTTGCAGCTTGTTTTCTAACTGATCCCAGAAGAGAATTATATATACGAGCCGGCCCGCGGCATAACATACGCCGCTATTTAGTTGTTTCTAATTTTCAATAATTCATAATTTGTGAATTCGACAGTACCAACGCTGACACTGAAAATATTTCTTTAAAACACTATAAGTAGCTCGTTAAGGACCATAACCCCCCCCCCCTCCTCCCCCCCCCTACGTTTAAAATCGTTGGCTCTGCTTGTAAACATTTAGAGTGAACACAGCTCACTAAAACCATGTAGGGGTGGGGAGGTAGGGAGAGCGTTTGCAGCTTGTTTTCTAACGGCTCGAAGAAGAGAATTATATATATAGATAGATTGTAGGTTAAGAACATACCCCACGGACCTTGAAAGTATACAACTATCTTATTGTACGTTAAGTACATTCCCCTAATTTTGAGTTACTTGACACACATGTATGCAGGTAAAGTACTTACCCCACACCTGTATCTTATAATCCCACCTTTATTTGCAGGTAAAGTACATACCCCACACCTTGATCCTATAATCCCACCTGTATTTGCAGGTAAAGTACATACCACACACCTTAATCCTATAATCCCTTCTGTATTTGCAGGTAAACTACAAACCCCACACCTTGATCCTATAATCCCACCTATATTTGCAGGTATACATACCCCACACCTTGATCCTATAACCCCACCTTTATTTACAGGTAAAGTACATACCCCACACCTTAATCTCATAATCCCACCTGTATTTGCAGGTAAAGTACATACCACACACCTTAATCCTATAATCCCTTCTGTATTTGCAGGTAAACTACAAACCCCACACCTTGATCCTATAATCCCACCCATATTTGCAGGTATACATACCCCACACCTTGATCCTATAACCCCACCTTTATTTACAGGTAAAGTACATACCCCACACCTTAATCTCATAATCCCACCTGTATTTGCAGGTAAAGTACATACCCCAAGCTACCTCTTTCGTCTCATGCTGTAAGGATGACGCCACGGCTTTGTATATGAGCCATGTCGAACCTTCCAAGAAAAAGCCAAGTTACTTTCACGTCTTAAGAGGATTCTTGTGTTTTGATTTTAGGTAACTAGAGCTTAATCATAGAGGAGTAGGGCTTAATCATAGAGGATTAGGGCTTAATCATAGTGGATTAGGGCTTAATCATAAAGGATTATGGCTTAATCGTAGAGGATTCTTGTGTTTTGATTTTAGGTAACTAGGGCTTAATCATAGGGGATTAGGGCTTAATCATAGAGGATTCTTGTGTTTTGATTTTAGGTAACTAGGGCTTAATCATAGGGGATTAGGGCTTAATCATAGAGGATTAGGGCTTAATCATAAAGGATTAGGGCTCAATCATAGAGGATTCTTGTGTTTTGATTTTAGGTAACTAGGGCTTAATCATAGGGGATTAGGGCTTAATCATAGAGGATTAGGGCTTAATCATAGAGGATTCTTGTGTTTTTATTTTAGGTACCTAGGGCTTAATCAAAGAGGATTAGGGCTTAATCATAGAGGATTAGGGCTTAATCATAGAGGATTAGGGCTAAATCATAGAGGATTAGGGCTTAATCATAGAGGATTCTTGTGTTTTGATTTTAGGTAATTAGGGTTTATTCTTTGAGGATTCTTGTGTTTTGATTTTAGGTAACTAGGGCCTAATCATAGAGGATTAGGGCTTAATCATATCTGATTCTTATATTTTGATTATAGGCAACTAGGGTTTAATCTTGCGGACTTCGATCTGTCCACGTTCACAGCAGTCTATTTTTTTTAAATGTTTGCTGTCCATCTCCATATGTAGCCCCCATTACACATAACGAATAATTTAACTGCCCCACCTCTCGTCCCCTCCCCCCCCCCCAGCTATGAGCTGAACGTGCTGGCTGCGGCTGGCATCGACTGCAACGTTTGGCTCTACAACCCATACATGCCGCAGAAGGTCGTCGCCATGATGGAAGGTCAGTGCCGGGGTCATTAGATGTAACAATACGGGTCAAGCTACCTACTTTAATATTAAGACAGGGTCAATAAATGTAACATCACGGTTCAAGCTGCCTAGTTTAATATTAAGCCAGGGGTCAATAAATGTAACAATACAGGTTAAGCTACCAATGTTAACAATAGGTCATGGGTCATTACATAATGAACTAAACACAATTTTAAAGAAAACAGTATCAAATTACTAGATAAGCTTTAAAAATAAAAAAAAAAAGCAGTGCTTAAAAATGCTTATAACTAAAAACAATGCTTACGAAGATATCGAAAAGAAATCAACAATAAGTTATTGTGCATACATGGTACCGTTATTTTTCAATGACATGATATACACGATCAAAAAGTGATTTTGTAAAAGGTGAGTACTTGTTAGCCTGGTGTTTTAAGAGTGAGTACCGTTTAGCCTGGTGTTTTAGAGTACCGTTGAGCCTATTGTTTTAGAGTGAGAACCGTTTAGCCTGATGTTTTAGAGTACCGTTGAGCCTATTGTTTTAGAGCGAGTACCGTTTAGCCTGGTGTTTTAGAGTACCGTTGAGCCTATTGTTTTAGAGTGAGTACCGTTTAGCCTGTTGTTTTAGAGTACCGTTGAGCCTATTGTTTTAGAGTGAGAACCGTTTAGCCTGGTGTTTTGTCTATCACACAGGTCACATCCGTCCAGTTTCCCACATCAAGATTAACGAGATTGAGAACTACTGCATCAGTGTGGACTTGTCCAGATCCGTCATGATATTCAATTTATCTTCCCAAGCTGTCGTTATGGTGGGTGGGTCTCTTCCATTAAAGATTGGGTTTGTTTGGGATGATGGTTGATGGTACTTGTGATGGCGGATGATGGCGCTTTGATATGATGGTTGATAATGTTCGAAATGATGGTTGATGGTGTTTGTGATAATGTTGATGGTGTTTTTGATGATGGTTATTGGTGTTTGTAATGTTGGTTGATGGTGTTTGTAATGATGGTTAATGGTGTTTGTGATGATGGTTGATGGTGTTTGTTGTGACGGTTGATGGTACTTTAATATGATGGTTGATGGTGTTTGTTGTGATGGTTGATGGTGTTTGTAATTTTGGTTGATGATGTTTGTGTACCTTGCAGCGTGTACCTGGGCAAGCAGTGAGGATGGGGAACCACTTCATCTACTCCATCTACCTCAACAGCCACAGGAAAATGTGCCTCATGGGATCTTACGGGTTAGTGTGTGTCTTGTGACCTACACAACAGTACTATCTACTGCATTTCCTGTCCCTTACCTCCCTTATACAACAATTCACCGTATCGCCACATACCTGCACAAAACACTATCACCAAAATTTGATAAAACTCAAAGTGTATTCTTTTAAAATGCCATAATTTTTTCGAGAATGTCTACACAATATCTTTTCTGGACATTGTTTTTCCATATTGCCATACCTTCTACTCTAGTCGAAGTGGTCGGGTCGGTAAAGCTCGTGGTTGCTGAACGGCAGTAGACCCGAGGCTCGATAAGTGGGACAGCCACTTTTCTAGGAGAGAAAACTTCTAAATCAAGCAACTGTTGCCTTGTAGTTTGTTCTTCATATACATCCATCATTTTTCTAAAACTAATTAATTAGAAAAAAAATCTTACCAGTTCATGTGTGCTGAAGTGGTGCACCCTGGGTAATTTATTAAAACTAATTAAGTTAATTAAACAAATTAATCTCCCCAGGTTGTGTGTACTGAAGAGGTGTACCCTGGAGGGGTTGAGCGTGGAGGTCAGGTCACATGACCACAAGCTGGTTGGAGCCTTGTACTCGCCAGTCTTTGAGCAAGTGGTGAGTTGACATTTGTATCATGGAGGACACGAAGTTAGATGACATTAGGACGCAGGACACGAACAGATGACATTTGGACGCAGGAGGACACGAACTTAGATGACATTTGGACGCAGGAGGACACGAACTTAGATGACATTTGGACGCAGGAGGACACGAACTTAGTTGACATTTGGACGCAGGACACGAACTTAGATGACATTTGGACGCAGGACACGAACTTAGATGACATTTGGACGCAGGAAGACATGGACAGATTATATTTGGACACCAGAGTCCTTCCTAAGCGTGTGACCACTCCATTGCCATTTCCTCTCCATCTATTGCATCCTGTCCACACATCTCGTCATGTGACGCCATACGTGAGGTTTACTGTTTGACATACCATACCTACACATCACCTGTTGTTTTCACATGTTGTGTCACCTATTGTGTTACCTGTTGTGTCACCTGTCGTGCCACCTGTCTTGTCACCTGTTGTGTCACCTGTTGTGTCACCTGTTGTATCAAGTGTCGTGTCACCTGTTGTGTCACCTGTCGTGTCACCTGTCGTGTCACCTGCTGTATCACCTGACGTGTCACCTATTGTGTCACCTGTTGTGTCACCTGTTGTGTCACCTGTCGTGTCACCTGCTGTATCACCTGACGTGTCACCTGTTGTGTCACCTGTTGTGTCACCTGTTGTGTCACCTGTTGTATCACGTGTCGTGTCACCTGCTGTATCACCTGACGTGTCACCTGTTGTGTCACCTGTTGTGTCACTGTGTCACCTGTTGTCTCACCTATAGGTCAGCGTGTGCCGGGGGTCAATGGTGCGTGTCTGGGACATAATCACCGGCACCCGTGTCATGCAGTTCGGAATGGCCCACAGCAAGAAAGCACAGGTAAGCTTCACCTGTTATCACCCCTTTCCCCTTATCCAACATGATGGCTAGTTCATAACGTTATTCAACAAAAGCTTATAAAGGGCGGCAACCATGTTAATCACTTGATTTTCCAATTAAATATTAATACAAGTACCCATCACACTTTTCATTTATAATGTTTGACGGTAAGCTTACTCTACGGTTTAGTAAAATATTTTGATTACCGTTTAAAAAAAATTTATATATTCAGACTAATTTAATTACAAGACATCGGGTTTTGTCAGAATATCGATTTTGTTATTGTGAGTTCTCAATCAAACCTTACAAACGCCCCCTACATCCCCAGGGTCGAATCGTGCCCACCCACTAACGCCCACCACCCAACCACAAAAGCCCACCACCCCCCAACTAAAGCCCACCGCCCACTTACTAACGCCCCCTACATCCCCAGGGTCGTGTTTGTACCTGTAGAGATCGAGTGTATCGCCCAGCCCACTAAAGCCCACCGCCCACCACCCACCCACTTAAGCCCACCACCCACCTACTAACGCCCCCTACATCCCCAGGGTCGTGTTGTGCATGAAGAGATCGAGTGTATCGCCCAGCCCGCTAAAGCCCACCACCCACCACCCACTAAAGCCCACCGCCCACCTACTAACGCCCCCTACATCCCCATGGTCGTGTTGTGCCTGTGGAGATCGAGTGTATCGCCCAGCCCACTAAAGCCCACCAACCAGCCCACTAAAGCCCACCTCCCACCACCCACCTACTAACGCCCCCTACATCCCCAGGGTCGTGTTGTGCCAATGGAGATCGAGTGTATCGCCCAGCCCACTAAAGCCAACCACCCATCACCCACCCACCCACTTAAGCCCACCGCCCACCTACTAACGCCCCCTACATCCCCAGGGTCGTGTTGTGCCTGTGGAGATCGAGTGTATCGCCCAGCCCTCTAAAGCCCACCACCCAGCCCACTAAAGCCCACCACCAATCCCACCTGCTAACGCCTCTTACATCCCCAGGGTCGTGTCGTACCTGTGGAGATCGAGTGTATCGCCCAGCCCACTAAAGCCCACCACCCAGCCCACTAAAGCCCACCACCCACCAACCACCTACTAACGCCCCCTACATCCCCAGGGTCGTGTTGTGCCTGTGGAGATCGAGTGTATCGCCCAGCCCACTAAAGCCCACCCACCTACTAAAGCCCCCTACATCCCCAGGGTCGTGTTGTGCCTGTGGAGATCGAGTGTATCGCCCAGCCCACTAAAGCCCACCACCCACCTACTAAAGCCCCCTACATCCCCAGGGTCGTGTTGTGCCTGTAGAGATCGAGTGTATCGCCCAGCCTACTAAAGCCCACCACCCACCTACTAAAGCCCCCTACATCCCCAGGGTCGTGTTGTGCCTGTAGAGATCAAGTGTATCGCCAAGCCCACTAAAGCCCACCACCCACCTACTAACGCCCCCTACATCCCCATGGTCGTGTTGTGCCTGTGGAGATCGAGTGTATCGCCCAGCCCACTAAAGCCCACCACCCACCTACTAAAGCCCCCCACATCCCCAGTGTCGTGTTGTGGCTGTAGAGATCGAGTGTATCGCCCAGCCCACTAAAGTCCACCACCCACCCACTAAAGCCCAGCACCCACCTACTAAAGCCCACCACCCACCCATTAACGCCCACCACCCACCCACTAAAGCACACCACCCACCCACTAAAGCCCACCACCCACCTACTAACGCCCCCTACATCCCTAGGGTCGTGTTGTGCCTGTGGAGATCGAGTGTATCGCCCAGCCCACTAAAGCCCACCACCCACCCACTAACGCCCACCACCCACCCACTAAAGCCCACCGCCCACCCACTAAAGCCCACCACCCACCCACTAAAGCCAACCACCCATCACCCACCCACCCACTTAAGCCCACCGCCCACCTACTAACGCCCCCTACATCCCCAGGGTCGTGTTGTGCCTGTGGAGATCGAGTGTATCGCCCAGCCCTCTAAAGCCCACCACCCAGCCCACTAAAGCCCACCACCAATCCCACCTGCTAACGCCTCTTTCATCCCCAGGGTCGTGTCGTACCTGTGGAGATCGAGTGTATCGCCCAGCCCACTAAAGCCCACCACCCAGCCCACTAAAGCCCACCACCCACCAACCACCTACTAACGCCCCCTACATCCCCAGGGTCGTGTTGTGCCTGTGGAGATCGAGTGTATCGCCCAGCCCACTAAAGCCCACCCACCTACTAACGCCCCCTACATCCCCAGGGTCGTGTTGTGCATGAAGAGATCGAGTGTATCGCCCAGCCCGCTAAAGCCCACCACCCACCACCCACTAAAGCCCACCGCCCACCTACTAACGCCCCCTACATCCCCATGGTCGTGTTGTGCCTGTGGAGATCGAGTGTATCGCCCAGCCCACTAAAGCCCACCAACCAGCCCACTAAAGCCCACCTCCCACCACCCACCTACTAACGCCCCCTACATCCCCAGGGTCGTGTTGTGCCAATGGAGATCGAGTGTATCGCCCAGCCCACTAAAGCCAACCACCCATCACCCACCCACCCACTTAAGCCCACCGCCCACCTACTAACGCCCCCTACATCCCCAGGGTCGTGTTGTGCCTGTGGAGATCGAGTGTATCGCCCAGCCCTCTAAAGCCCACCACCCAGCCCACTAAAGCCCACCACCAATCCCACCTGCTAACGCCTCTTACATCCCCAGGGTCGTGTCGTACCTGTGGAGATCGAGTGTATCGCCCAGCCCACTAAAGCCCACCACCCAGCCCACTAAAGCCCACCACCCACCAACCACCTACTAACGCCCCCTACATCCCCAGGGTCGTGTTGTGCCTGTGGAGATCGAGTGTATCGCCCAGCCCACTAAAGCCCACCCACCTACTAAAGCCCCCTACATCCCCAGGGTCGTGTTGTGCCTGTGGAGATCGAGTGTATCGCCCAGCCCACTAAAGCCCACCACCCACCTACTAAAGCCCCCTACATCCCCAGGGTCGTGTTGTGCCTGTAGAGATCGAGTGTATCGCCCAGCCTACTAAAGCCCACCACCCACCTACTAAAGCCCCCTACATCCCCAGGGTCGTGTTGTGCCTGTAGAGATCAAGTGTATCGCCAAGCCCACTAAAGCCCACCACCCACCTACTAACGCCCCCTACATCCCCATGGTCGTGTTGTGCCTGTGGAGATCGAGTGTATCGCCCAGCCCACTAAAGCCCACCACCCACCTACTAAAGCCCCCCACATCCCCAGTGTCGTGTTGTGGCTGTAGAGATCGAGTGTATCGCCCAGCCCACTAAAGTCCACCACCCACCCACTAAAGCCCAGCACCCACCTACTAAAGCCCACCACCCACCCATTAACGCCCACCACCCACCCACTAAAGCACACCACCCACCCACTAAAGCCCACCACCCACCTACTAACGCCCCCTACATCCCTAGGGTCGTGTTGTGCCTGTGGAGATCGAGTGTATCGCCCAGCCCACTAAAGCCCACCACCCACCCACTAACGCCCACCACCCACCCACTAAAGCCCACCGCCCACCCACTAAAGCCCACCACCCACCCACTAAAGCCAACCACCCATCACCCACCCACCCACTTAAGCCCACCGCCCACCTACTAACGCCCCCTACATCCCCAGGGTCGTGTTGTGCCTGTGGAGATCGAGTGTATCGCCCAGCCCTCTAAAGCCCACCACCCTACCCACTAAAGCCCACCACCAATCCCACCTGCTAACGCCTCTTACATCCCCAGGGTCGTGTCGTACCTGTGGAGATCGAGTGTATCGCCCAGCCCACTAAAGCCCACCACCCAGCCCACTAAAGCCCACCACCCACCAACCACCTACTAACGCCCCCTACATCCCCAGGGTCGTGTTGTGCCTGTGGAGATCGAGTGTATCGCCCAGCCCACTAAAGCCCACCACCCACCTACTAAAGCCCCCTACATCCCCAGGGTCGTGTTGTGCCTGTGGAGATCGAGTGTATCGCCCAGCCCACTAAAGCCCACCACCCACCTACTAAAGCCCCCTACATCCCCAGGGTCGTGTTGTGCCTGTGGAGATCGAGTGTATCGCCCAGCCTACTAAAGCCCACCACCCACCTACTAAAGCCCCCTACATCCCCAGGGTCGTGTTGTGCCTGTAGAGATCAAGTGTATCGCCAAGCCCACTAAAGCCCACCACCCACCTACTAACGCCCCCTACATCCCCATGGTCGTGTTGTGCCTGTGGAGATCGAGTGTATCGCCCAGCCCACTAAAGCCCACCACCCACCCACTAAAGCCCAGCACCCACCTACTAAAGCCCACCACCCACCCATTAACGCCCACCACCCACCCACTAAAGCACACCACCCACCCACTAAAGCCCACCACCCACCTACTAACGCCCCCTACATCCCTAGGGTCGTGTTGTGCCTGTGGAGATCGAGTGTATCGCCCAGCCCACTAAAGCCCACCACCCACCCACTAACGCCCACCACCCACCCACTAAAGCCCACCGCCCACCCACTAAAGCCCACCACCCAGCCCACTAAAGCCCACCACCCACCTACTAACGCCCCCTACATCCCCAGGGTCGTGTCGTGCCTGTGGAGATCGAGTGTATCGCCCAGCCCGCTAAAGCCCACCACCCACCTACTAACGCCCCCTACATCCCCAGGGTCGTGTTGTGCCTGTGGAGATCGAGTGTATCGCCCAGCCCTCTAAAGCCCACCACCCAGCCCACTAAAGCCCACCACCAATCCCACCTGCTAACGCCTCTTACATCCCCAGGGTCGTGTCGTACCTGTGGAGATCGAGTGTATCGCCCAGCCCACTAAAGCCCACCACCCAGCCCACTAAAGCCCACCACCCACCAACCACCTACTAACGCCCCCTACATCCCCAGGGTCGTGTTGTGCCTGTGGAGATCGAGTGTATCGCCCAGCCCACTAAAGCCCACCCACCTACTAAAGCCCCCTACATCCCCAGGGTCGTGTTGTGCCTGTGGAGATCGAGTGTATCGCCCAGCCCACTAAAGCCCACCACCCACCTACTAAAGCCCCCTACATCCCCAGGGTCGTGTTGTGCCTGTGGAGATCGAGTGTATCGCCCAGCCTACTAAAGCCCACCACCCACCTACTAAAGCCCCCTACATCCCCAGGGTCGTGTTGTGCCTGTAGAGATCAAGTGTATCGCCAAGCCCACTAAAGCCCACCACCCACCTACTAACGCCCCCTACATCCCCATGGTCGTGTTGTGCCTGTGGAGATCGAGTGTATCGCCCAGCCCACTAAAGCCCACCACCCACCCACTAAAGCCCAGCACCCACCTACTAAAGCCCACCACCCACCCATTAACGCCCACCACCCACCCACTAAAGCACAACACCCACCCACTAAAGCCCACCACCCACCTACTAACGCCCCCTACATCCCTAGGGTCGTGTTGTGCCTGTGGAGATCGATTGTATCGCCCAGCCCACTAAAGCCCACCACCCACCCACTAACGCCCACCACCCACCCACTAAAGCCCACCGCCCACCCACTAAAGCCCACCACCCACCCACTAAAGCCCACCACCCACCTACTAACGCCCCCTACATCCCCAGGGTCGTGTCGTGCCTGTGGAGATCGAGTGTATCGCCCAGCCCGCTAAAGCCCACCACCCACCTACTAACGCCCCCTACATCCCCAGGGTCGTGTTGTGCCTGTGGAGATCGAGTGTATCGCCCAGCCCTCTAAAGCCCATCACCCAGCCCACTAAAGCCCACCACCAATCCCACCTGCTAACGCCTCTTACATCCCCAGGGTCGTGTCGTACCTGTGGAGATCGAGTGTATCGCCCAGCCCACTAAAGCCCACCACCCAGCCCACTAAAGCCCACCAACCACCAACCACCTACTAACGCCCCCTACATCCCCAGGGTCGTGTTGTGCCTGTGGAGATCGAGTGTATCGCCCAGCCCACTAAAGCCCACCACCTACTAAAGCCCCCTACATCCCCAGGGTCGTGTTGTGCCTGTGGAGATCGAGTGTATCGCCCAGCCCACTAAAGCCCACCACCCACCTACTAAAGCCCCCTACATCCCCAGGGTCGTGTTGTGCCTGTGGAGATCGAGTGTATCGCCCAGCCTACTAAAGCCCACCACCCACCTACTAAAGCCCCCTACATCCCCAGGGTCGTGTTGTGCCTGTAGAGATCAAGTGTATCGCCAAGCCCACTAAAGCCCACCACCCACCTACTAACGCCCCCTACATCCCCATGGTCGTGTTGTGCCTGTGGAGATCGAGTGTATCGCCCAGCCCACTAAAGCCCACCACCCACCTACTAAAGCCCCCTACATCCCCAGTGTCGTGTTGTGGCTGTAGAGATCGAGTGTATCGCCCAGCCCACTAAAGCCCACCACCCACCTACTAAAGCCCCCTACATCCCCAGTGTCGTGTTGTGGCTGTAGAGATCGAGTGTATCGCCCAGCCCACTAAAGTCCACCACCCACCCACTAAAGCCCAGCACCCACCTACTAAAGCCCACCACCCACCCATTAACGCCCACCACCCACCCACTAAAGCACACCACCCACCCACTAAAGCCCACCACCCACCTACTAACGCCCCCTACATCCCTAGGGTCGTGTTGTGTCTGTGGAGATCGAGTGTATCGCCCAGCCCACTAAAGCCCACCACCCACCCACTAACGCCCACCACCCACCCACTAAAGCCCACCGCCCACCCACTAAAGCCCACCACCCACCCACTAAAGCCCACCACCCACCTACTAACGCCCCCTACATCCCCAGGGTCGTGTCGTGCCTGTGGAGATCGAGTGTATCGCCAAGCCCACTAAAGCCCACCACCCACCTACTAACGCCCCCTACATCCACATGGTCGTGTTGTGCCTGTGGAGATCGAGTGTATCGCCCAGCCCACTAAAGCCCACCACCCACCTACTAAAGCCCCCTACATCCCCAGTGTCGTGTTGTGGCTGTAGAGATCGAGTGTATCGCCCAGCCCACTAAAGCCCACCACCCACCTACTAACGCCCCCTACATCCCTAGGGTCGTGTTGTGCCTGTGGAGATCGAGTGTATGGCCCAGCCCACTAAAGCCCACCACCCACCCACTAAAGCCCACCACCCACCCACTAAAGCCCACCGCCCACCCACTAAAGCCCACCACCCACCCACTAAAGCCCACCACCCACCAACTAACGCCCCCTACATCCCCAGGGTCGTGTCGTACCTGTGGAAATCGAGTGTATCGCCCTGACAGAGAACAAGAAGCGCCTGTGTACAGCGGCTGAGGGTGTCATCAAAATCTGGAACTTTTGTGTCGGCGTCGTTCTCAGGTCAGGGGTTTCTAGTAGGGTCATGGGTCAGGGTCTGTGTTAGAGGTCAGGGTCTATGTTAGATGTCAAGGTTTATGGTCTATGCCAGGGTCAGAGGTCAAGGGTTTATGTTCTATACATGGGTCAGGGTCTATGTTAGAGGTCGGGGGTTATGTTCTATACACGGGTCAGGGACTATGTTTTATGCCAGGGAAAGAGGTCAGAGTGTATGTTCTATGCAAGGGTCAGAGGTTATGGTGTAAGTTATGTATCAAGATTAGAAGTCACAGTGTATGTTGAAAACAGAGTTAGGTCACGGTTTATATTCTATACCAGGTTTAGAGGTCGAAGTCTATGTTCTTTGTGTTTAAAGAATACTGGAATATTCTGTAAAAACTAACTACAAACAAACTCATAACTTGATTACCCATCCTTAACCCAAATCTTAACCCCAGTTATAACAGCCCTAAAGTAAATTTGACGCTAACATTAAACCTGTGATTACACTACTACTCACAACTTAACGCAATGTGTTTAGAAGAATTCATGGCCGGCCACTAGTTGCAAGTAGACGAGTTTGTTACTTTCCTTTGTTGTTGTTTCTAAGAAACAGTCCCAGCCCACTCGATAATAATGTGTTGTCTAAGGAATCTCCCCATGTCGTCCGGCTTTAAGTTCTGTGTTGTGTGACCTTCTCCTACACTCCATGTTGTCCCACTCTATGTTCTGTGTTGTGTGACCTTCTCCTACACTCAATGTTGTCCTACTCTATGTTCTGTGTTGTGTGACCCTCTCCTACACTCCATGTTGTCCGGCTCTATGTTCTGTGTTGTGTGACCTTCACCTAGGGTTCTGGACATGAGCAACTGTCAGAAGATCACGAGCATCGCCATGGCCAAGAACCAGATCTACGTCACCGGCTGGAGTAAGATCATCAACATCTTCAGTGACTTCAAGGGGGAGGAGGCCATTAAAAAGGTGGGTCTAGGGGGTGATTCGGGAGGCCATTAAGAAGGTGAGACCGTAGTGAGACTTGGGTGAAGGGTACAGCAGGCCATTAAAAAGGTGGGCCTAGTGGGTGATTCAGTAGGCCATTAAAAAGGTGAGACCGTAGTGAGACTTTCGTTACACGTACAGGATGCCATTAAGAAGGTGAGACCGTAGTGAGACTTTCGTAACACGTACAGGAGGCCATTAAGAAGGTGAGACCGTAGCGTGTTATCTATGAGGCCATCAGAGGTGAGATGGTTAAATGGTAGTGGAGGCATAAAAAGGTGACACGGTAACGGGTTATTCATTAGGCCATCAAACAGGAGAATGGAATGTCTTGGCCTAGTGGTAGAGCGCTAGACTGCTAACCCGAAAGTCTCGAGTTCGTATCCGGGTTCAAGCCATAAGTGGGAAAGTAAATGCGGCTGAGCATAATGCTGACCACAATTTCCCTATATATACCGAGGTCAAGAAACGTGAAAGCGATCCATTTAGCCAATGGATATCTAGGTCTAAAGAGGAATCTTTACATTTTTTATCAACAAAGTGAGACTATAGGGCTGGTAAGTAGGTCACAACCAGTTCTATGGCTCATGCAGGTTTTATTGAGCCGTAGAACTGGTTGGTGACCTACTTACCAGCCTTATTGAGTGAAGGGGTTCAATTAATCATCATAAAGTTGAAACTCGTTGTAGGCTTTCAAAGCGCCACTATATTTCTTGTTACTTGGCGAAAACGTAAGTAAACCTAAAGCTTATACACCATTACACGAAGGAAACCAGACGGTAATACGACATTTTTTGTGGACATTCTCCCCCAGTCCTGGCAACAGAAACACAACGACGACTGCCTGTCCTTGTGTATCCTCGAACCCAACCTCATCGCATCATCAGCCTACGACGGCAGCATCATAGTCTGGTCAAGGGAGACGACTGAGTCCTACTGCAAGTAAGATAACTCTTACACCTTCCAAAATTTTTTCCCATTATAGTTTCGGTGCTTATAAGGGGAAATGAGGATTTATAAACACTATAGCTCTAGAATTATTTTTAATGTATCATATTATATATGTTGTTAAATACGGATAATTTAAAATTAATAAATCCCATAATTTCTAAAAATACTAAAAATATAAGTCCTTTACAGTAAGTTTTTGACCTTAGGGTGTTGAAGAAAATAAACAAAATAAAATTTCGTTTACTGCAATGTTCTTTTTGTTATTGGTAATTACCATTTTAGTATTTAAAAAAAAAACGAACTCTACAATACCCAACTAATTTATTAAAAAAACAAACAAGCACATTAGAGAGTTCATTTTCAAAAATACGATTAGAAACATTAGCCACAAAACCTTAATACAAAATAAATTAAATGGAGGTATAGGGCTACACGACATTCAAACTAAAATAAACACCTTCCGATTAAAACACCTGGATAGAATAAGGATAGAACCACATTATCATCCATTAGCACAATACTACATTGGGTTAAACATAAAGAGCATTTTAAAATTAAACATCATAACACCACACTATGGGGGAAATGACATAGGCAGCTTTTATAAAGAAACGCTAGCAACATTCCAAGGAAACAAAAGCATTATTGGGGAAGACACAAAAAAAATATACGACATCCTAATCAAACAACAAGCGACACCCTTATACACGAGAATTAGTTGGGCCAGGGAACACAATATAATAGACATTAAAGATACATTTAGAAACCTTCATAATAAACGCATTACACCAAAAGAAAGGGAAATAGCATACAGACTGATTTTTAACACAACTCCAGTTTCACGAAATACAAAGTCAAATCAAAATGTTAAAATAACATGTCAAACGTGTAAACAAAATATACAAGAAACTGAGAAACACATTTATTTAGATTGTATATTAGTACAGAAAACAAAGCAAACACTTGCGAAAATATTAAACACCACCAACCAAACAGCCACAACAAATAAAGCAATCACACTTAATTTAATTAACACGACTAGACAAAGAACAGAAGACGAAAACAGACTAGTAGCAATGGCTATTTATAGATCGACTATATGGCAAATTAGGAATAAAGTCAGATATTTTTTCACAAAATACACGGACATCGAGTTAAAAGAAATATTTCAAGCAAAGCTAAGACATAGACTGGGAACTCTCACTTAACTGAGAAAAAAAAAAAAAAAGGAATATACAGGAAAGAAATAAATAAAGTATTAATTTTAATTTAGACAGCCAAACATCACTCGATCAGCCCCCAAGTAAATTAACATTAGGACAGTCTTCTGTTTCCCGGGTTTTAAAATGCACAATCTGAATGGTAGAAAGAGATACCCACCTCAACCCCCCCCCCCCAAACACACACACACACTCCCCCCCCCCCCCCCCCCCCCCCACTCAACCGGACTGGCGGACATTTCAACGTAGCGTGCCCTCATTGCCAAGGGTCAATTTTATGTCATGGAAAGTTTCGGAATGATAGATCAGTACGTGATTACAGAGACACTTCTCCCACAGTCGTTTCTATTTCTGTCCTTGGGTGGCTACAGTGTGAACTTTTGACTCCGCAGCACACTAAACTAAGCAGTGAAGAGAAACCTAGTTTGCACACCTTATTTTAATCTAGTTCTTATGCCATTTTATTTTTCCCCTTTGATTATTATATATGCAGTTGATGTTCATTGTTCATGTCTTTGATGCTATGTAAAATCTATCAAATATATTATTATTACTGATTTAAATGTTTAAAACAATTGAATTAATAAAAATAAAAAATAAAAAAAAAATCTACCCCCTCCTCTCTCCCCCTCTATCCACTTTACCCCCAGACATGATAACCCCACAATCCCTTTAACTGTTCCAACGACCCCACCACCCACCGCAACATCAATATCCAGAACTTATTTAAAGTTCTAAATCTTGTCTCTTTCCCCTCATCTTTCACACTACAACCTTTTGAAAACTCAATGCGACCACTACAACACCATTTCAACTAGTCAACTTAAGTTGTTTCCCTACATAGAAAATGCTTCACTGTCCCATTGACCCTCTCTGAAAAATTTCCTTTCCCCTCCACACCCAGACTTCTGACACTTTCATTTGACCTTCACCCCTTTTACTGTCATCCTTTGCAATTTTTTTTTATATAATCAAATACATGACATCATGTAAATATTCATTATGTACATTTGCAAAACCTTTCGTTTTCATTTGGTGTTCAAAATTATGTTAAAAAATTTGATGTTGATGTACTTGTTTTAATTGCAAATAAAAGTATTAAAAAAAAAAAAAAAAAAAAAAAAAAAAAAAAAAAAAAAACATACTAATTCACTTACACACATAAAAAAAAAAAAAAAAAAAAAAAAAAAAAAAAAGTTTTAGTATCATCTTTATTATATTTAGACGTTTTGTATTAGATTATAATTAGATCCATGTATAAGTAAACCATCTTAAATGAATGAAAGTAGGCTACAAGTAAGAAAGAAATATTACTATTGTAAATCTGTATCAGTCCTCACAAGCCGGTGATGAAAACTGTAATACTAAAGCGAACACACACAACTGACGCTGTAAATTAAATGTCTGAGGCAAAAAAAAAAAAGAGAAAAAAAAAATTACCAATTTAGTTGTAGGGCGAATAGTTACCTCTTGGACATTCGCGCCACCTAGATGGTATTGAATTGTCAATGATTTTGTTCTCGTAGATTTCACGCATCGTTTGGCAGCTTACCTGAGCTGGACACGGCTGTGAGAGGGGGTGGCAACAAGAACAATATTATGTCAGTAAGTGTCGACACGTTGTCGGGATGTACGTCATAAGTTGACCGAATGTACGGCATAAGTTGACCGGATGTACGTCATAAATTGACCCGATGTACGCCATAATTTGACTGAAAGCACGACATACTATGTGAGAGGACAGGATGGTGTGATGTAAATGTCCATTAAAATCCATAAGGTCTCAGTGACTGACCAACTGACCGTCACGCTTGATTACCGTTCGACCACCTTGACCTCGTTGATCCACAAATACCCAATCGCACGCAAACTCACACACATACGCACTCACACACGATCCCCTTAAATACATCCAGCAAAGCCCCACCCTACCACGACTATACCGTTACTGACAAACTGACTATCACCAGTGACCACCATTCGATCATATAGGCCTATATCTCATTAATCCACCCATCCACATAACACGCCTTAACTTATCCAACAACTCATTATCTCTTCATCTCTGCCAAAACGACCCAACATTATGTCCAACTGACCATCACCAATAACCACCATTCTACCACATATATCTCATCAATTACATATGGACCGTCGCACGTCCAACCACTACTCCTCTCTAAAACACCCAACAACCCCCCACCTCCCTCTCTACCCATCTCCACCACACAACGACCCAACGACATTCCAACTCACCATTACTAGTGACCAACTTCAATCCACATACAGACAGTCGCACGTCCAAACACTACCCCTCTCTAACACATCCAACAACACACCCACCCACCCCACCACAACGACCCAACGACTGTCCAACTCACCATCACTAGTGACCACCATTCGACCACATCAATCCACATACAGACAGTCGCACGTCCACACACTACCCCTAACACATCCAACAACCCCCACCCCCACCCACCCCACCCCAACTACCCAGCGACTGACCAACTGACCATCACCTGACCACCCCCCACAGGTGGCCGCTGAGATGGACTCAGCCGACCAGGACGACGGGGACGAGGAGCAGGGGGAGGACGCCTTCATGACGATAGGCCGGCACTTGAGGAAGGAGGGAGGGTGGTACCGGCTGCTGAGGGCCCTGAAAAAACGACAGATTGAGAGAGAGAGGGTAAGATATTGAGGAGAGAGAGAGGGTAAGATATTGAGAGAGAGAGAGAGGGTAAGATATAGTGATTTCTTTTATGTGAAATTGTATATCGTGAACAATTTTGTGTCAGTTCTTTAATACATTTTTTGGTGTGAACTATTTTAATCCGAACTATTTTCATCCGAACTATTTTAATCCGAATTATTTTAATCCGGATTACAATAATCCTAGCCATATCCATCTGAACTATTTAAAATCCTATCTATTCAAACCAAACAAATTTAAACCTGAACTATTTTAAATCGATCTTTTTTAATGAGAATTATTTTAATCTTAATTATTTTCATTAGCACTATTTTGTTGTCCCTTCGTCAAAGAATAATAATTTTGAGTATGAAACAAAATAACATATTACAAATCTGAACTTGTTAAACCTAAAATATTAGTTCTTGAACTTACATATTCAATGTGAACTATTAACTAACTGAACCTTTTGGCTGTGATCTATTAGTTCATGAATTCGTTGAATGTGGTCTTTTAGTTCATGAACTTGTTGAATGTGAACTATTAGTTCATGAACTTGTTGAATGTGATCTATTCATAAACTTGTTGAATGTGAACTATTAGTTCATGAACTTATTAAATATGAACCATCTATAGCGACGAGCCGCCTTAGAACGAAAAGACTTCAGCGCCAAGTACAAGAAGAAGAAGAAACGCATGAACATGCAGGGCCTGAGTCTTGTCTACGAGTCGGCCGTGGAGTGTATGGTTTTCCTGGAGTCACGGCGCCCAATCGACCCCCAGACCGCCACCTTAGTCGCTGGGTAAGTCGCCTTGGGTGGGGTCGACCAATGGGTAGTTGTGGACTGTGACGAATAAGACTTGGTTAGGTTTTTGAGAAAGAAGTGCGTTGAGCTAGCGCAATTCTTTGTTTGTAAATGTTTTGTTTTCGGCTGCTACATGCACCGTTCCATGTTTGTTTGTATTTTGTGCCGATGGCGTCACTCTGTTAAAAAGAATATGTGTAATTCATGTACGCGTTAACTTTTTTGTTTACTACAATAACCAAACTGGTCCGAAACACGGTGTAGCGTTTATTGTATGAATTTACGACGTTGAAACCAAAAGGTTTATATCAACTCCTACACCATTGGGCTCGTCCACCACAACGTTCCCCCCCCCCCCCCCCACCTCAACACCGGATATTTTTTAGCGCAATTTCCATTCTGGAGAATTGCGTTTATTAACCCGTCATTTCTGGATGTATGAATGTATGAATGAATGGATGGATGTGTGTCCGCAGCTTTAAGTCGTATCTCCTCCTCAACGAAGCAATATCGATGACTAGTTCCAAAAGCAATTATGTTAAGCAAGTTACGAGGAGGATGAACATAGGCTATAAAAAGTCCGGGTTTCTTTCATGGTTTTCCCGGAAAAGCCAAAAAAACCTCGAAAAAAAGCAGTTTTTGGCCCATATCTCAGCAACCAGACCACTTAGCGACTTGAAACATGTACCAATCGATTCCTGCCATAATTTAGAACAATATTGCCGAAGAAAGTTTTCAAAAATATCCTTTCGTTCGGTCACAAAAAATTTTTTGAATAAATTAAAATTTGGACCGAATTAGTAGGCATTTTTTCCAACCACACCACACGCGTCATCACGTTCAATAGCTGCACCATCACGTTCTATGGCTTCGTCATCACGTTCAGTAGCTAGGCGCGCAATGGTTTTTAGTCATGTAACTCTATTGTAAATAAAACATGTAAAATACTGAAATTTTTTTTTAATAAAAAACGTTTTAATAACTAACCAATGGTTTTACTAACCCTGCTCTTGATTTACGCTACGACAGAGCTATTTTTAGATAACATAAGGAAATTGCGCTAAAATTGTCACTAGACTTTTTAATTAACTTGTTTATTTAGCCTTTATACAAAATATAGGCCTATACATTAAACCAGTGTCCGTCCACACCTATCTTTGAAGTTTTAAAATCCCCCCCCCTTGTATGAGAATTTTAGAAAGAAACCATTGTTTACAATGTGGTTACAATCAATGTGGGTTTTGTAATTACAATATCTTTGTTATTTTTAATAGCACTAGCTATGAATTTTTTTGTTTGCGTGGGTAAAGTCAATATTTACCTGTGGACGTGGTTAAATTTAATATATACCTGTGGACGTGGTTAAATTTAATATATACCTGTGGACGTGGTTAAATTTAATATATACCTGTGGACGTGGTTAAATTTAATATATACCTGTGGACGTGGTTAAATTTAATATATACCTGTGGACGTGGTTAGATTTAATATATACCTGTGGGCGTGGTTAAATTTAATATATACCTGTGGACGTGGTTAAATTTAATATATACCTGTGGGCGTGGTTAAATTTAATATATACCTGTGGGCGTGGTTAAATTTAATATATACCTGTGGGCATGGTTAAATTTAATATATACCTGTGGGCATGGTTAAATTTAATATATACCTGTGGGCATGGTTAAATTTAAAATATACCTGTGGGCATGGTTAAATTTAATATATACCTGTGGGCGTGGTTAAATTTAATATATACCTGCGGGCGTGGTTAAATTTAATATATACATGTGGGCGTGGTTAAATTTAATATTTACTTGTGGGCATGGTTAAGTTCAATATATACCCGTGGGCGTGGTTAAATTAAATATATACCTGTGGGCGTGGTAAGAGATAGTATGTAACATAGAGCATATTGAAACAGCGAGTATCATTGGGTGTGATTGAAGTTATAATGCGTGGGTGGGCGCAGGTCAAAGATATAATGTACTCACTACCTTACCTCTAGTGTAACATATTCCCCTTAATTAATTAACCACCAAATTAACACATTTTACTTCTACATCTTTAATATAATTTATTTCGCTAATTAATTAACAAAAAATATAACACATTCTTCAGTACCTATCCTGTTGTGTAACATATTCACCCTAATTAATTAAAAACCAATTTAACACATTTTCCTTCACTAGTTCTACATCTTTAAAATAACTCATTTCCCTAATTAATTAACCAAATATTTAACACATTCTTTAGTACCTAACCTGTTGTCTGACATATCCCCCCTAATTAATTAACTAACCCCCAATTAACCACATTCTCCCCTCATCACGTGACCTCCAGTGGTGCCGAGTGCTGGTTGCGGTTCTGGTCCCTCCACCCCAAAGGGGGTCTGCTCGGTCAGTTCACCAGCACCAGACGGAAGCTTGAGAGCATCAGGTGTATGACCACAGACAAGAACAATGAGTACCTCATCACAGGGGACACCATGGGGCTCATGAGGGTAAGGCTGGACACTGGCAGGGCTCATGGGGGTAACTAGGTCACTGGCAGGGCTCTTGAGGGTAAGGCTTCTCGCTGGCAGGGCTCTTGAGGGTAAGGCTGGACACTGGCAGGGCTCTTGAGGGTAAGGCTGGACACTGGCAGGGCTCTTGAGGGTAAGGCTGGACACTGGCAGGGCTCTTGAGGGTAAGGCTGGACACTGGCAGGGCTCTTGAGGGTAAGACTGGACACTGGCAGGGCTCTTGAGGGTAAGGCTGGAAACTGGCAGGGCTCTTGAGGGTAACTAGGTCACTGGCAGGGCTCTTGAGGGTAAGGCTGCTCACTGGCAGGGCTCTTGAGGGTAAGTAGGTAAATGTCAGGCTCTTGAGGGTAAGACTGGTCATTGTCTGAGCTCATAAGGGGTAAACCTAGTCCCTCTTGTTTCTGCTTTCTGTGCTGGTGTGGGAGGGGGGGGGTGCGCTAATATGTAACCGTTGAATGATTTATATTATGCAGTTATTTTTTGCTGTTTTGCTATTTAGTTGATCTTGTGTATTTGTATAAACCACATGCAAAAAGTACGAAACAATATTTTGAATATCTTTGTTAAGATTATACTCAAGTGCAAGATGTATGACCTTAAAATAAATTATGGTTAGGTTACCGATACTAAAACAACAAAATATCTAAAAAACGACCGTACAATAGTACTTGGGTAACAGTAATAAAGAATACTCGATTTTATATTAATAATTAAAGTTACATAATTCATACTTTGGTTGTATTTAGCACATGTGAGCCACACTATTCATAAAATAGAATTATCCCATTTGTTACTGGCGTAACCTCTAGGACGTTCGCTGTTTACACATTGCAGATCTGGGATATCAAAGAGTTCTGTAACGCCGACAAGCTGACACAGGAGGAGAGGGATGAGCGCGAGAAGAAGATCAAGAAAACTTTTGTATATACTAGGCTACCCTTCAAACCCGAGGAGATTCTCGACACCATGGAAAAGTTGAGGGAGAAGAGGATATCTGTTCCGGATGCCAGTAAACCGCGGAAAAATTTGAAGTCACCACGTCTGGTGGGTGAGGAAGTGTGGGGTGTGTGGGTGTGTGGGAGAGTGGGAGTTAGGAAGCGTGGGAGGAAGGGTTGTGTGGGGTAGAGTGAGGAGATGGGAGAATGTGAATGAGAGAGTAGTGGTGGAAGATTTTGGATGGGAGATGTTGGGTGGAAGGAGTTGGTGGTAATGTGTGAGAGTGGGCGGGAGTGTGTGTGTGTGTTTGTGTGTGTGGGTGAGAGAGTGGGAGTTGAAAAACGTGGGGGAGAAGGTTTGTTGGTTTGGTAGAGTGGGTGGGTGAGAGTGTGTTTGTCTGTGGTAGTTGAAGAGTGGAGTTGTATGAGTGTGTCTCAGTGTGTGGGGGATGGTTTGTGTGGGAATGTGTGTGCGTGTACAGGTATGAGAGTTTGAGTAATCTGGAGTTTGTCGGTGGGTGAGTGTGGGTAGATGTAGTGTGGGTGGGTGGAGGAGAGTATGTTCATCGGAGAGTTTAATTGTGTGGGTAGGTGGGTGAGTTGGGAAGGAGAGTGTGTCCTGTAGTTGAGTAGTGTCAATTGCCACACTTGTCTTGTATTTGAGCAGCGTCAAGTGCCACACTGTATATGTTCTATAGTTGAGCAGCGTCAAGTGCCACACCTGTCTTGTAGTTGAGTAGTGTCAAGTGCCAGATTGTGTACTATGCATGTTGTAGTTGAGCAGTGTCAAGTGCCACACTTGTCCTGTAGTTGAGTAGTGTCAAGTGCCACACTGTGTATGTCCTGTAGTTGACCAGTTTCAAGTGCCACACTGTATTTGTCCTATAGTTGAGTAGCATCAAGTGCCACACCTTATACTATCTATCCTCTAGTTGAGTAGCATCAAGTGCCACACCCAGCCCATCGTGTCTGTAGAGCTGATAGACGAGAGGAATTTGATCATCACAGCCAGCATGGACAGGACCGTCCGGCTGTGGACCAAGAACTGCACGTTCATTGGCACCTTTGGCGAGATCTGGAAACCTATTCCATTAGTGGTCGGGGCAGTGGTGTAAGTGACCTTTGACCTGTCGTATTGGCTGCTGTGGTGTAAGTGACCTTTTACCTGTCGTATTGTGAGCTGCTGTGTAAGTGACCGTTAATATTGGGGGCATCTGTGTGACAAGTAACTCTTAACAGTGGGGCAGGCAGTGGTGTAAGTAACCTTTAACCCTTTCAAATAGTAATGGAGACGTTTTCATTAGGCTTTAAAAACCAAATAAAATTATATTTACATTAATTCCTGAACTAGAAAACTACATGTTTTATCCATAATATTTCAATTTAAAAAATAAGGCTAAAATCATCTTACTGTTTTATCTTACTCGATCACAACAAAACATAGTATTTTGATTTAGTCTTATGTGTTTATAATATTCACTACATTTGTGGATAACTTGTTTGAGGCAGTATTGACTTATTGAGCTACATCATACATGTTTTCCCCGTTACAATCAAGCTAATGACTGATAACTTTACTGTTGAATCCACACTTAGCTCTAATAGTTATTAATCTAAAAGTTTTGAGACAATACAAGTTAGTCACTGCTTAGAAAAATAAATATTATATCTAAACTGAAGATATCCACAATAAAACTACCATTATTTCTAAACCAAAATCACCCACAAGTAACTTGCCCTATAAAATGATTTCAGGGAAAAATTTCCTCGCATACCACGTGACGTACAGAGATGTGCCTCGGCGAGGTCCCTGGCAACCCTTCACAACGGGAAAATGCCAAAATGGCGGACTGCGTGCTACGTAGTGCGACGTCATATTTACGAGCAACGCAGAGTGAGTGAATTAATAAACAATAGGGACAGCCAATAGATTTTTGTTTATACTGTCAAACAAGTTACTCTTTTTAAACTGGCAGTCAATGAAGCAGATGAAGTAGAGTTTATCTGTTTATGTGAGCACGGCGTGTAATGGGGTGGTGTGGTCAGCCTTATGACAAGCTGATTTTACTTTCTCTAATGCGATTCGGGTACAGATTATAGATAATGGAGTCATTGACGTCATAGAGACTCAAGTACGGGATCCGAAATCTAGACGTTAGAGTTAGGAGTCGTTCACTCTGCCATCCAACCATGCGGTCCCATTTATAGTCAGTCTTAGCTATTTCAAAATCCTTTAGCTAGCCTCAGACCCAATGTTTACAGTCAATCAGACCCAGAGGCGTAATGACCCTTCCCCGCGCCCAGGGACAAACTTTCAATTTGGCGCCCCCCTCAGGAACAGCCTTTGAATTTTCAATTTGCACCCCCACTCTTTACACTTTCAATGTGCACCCCCCCCCCCCCACCCTCAAACTTTCAATTTGCAACCCCCCCTCATATATTTTTTTTATATTTATAATGCTAAACAGCAACTAAAATGAGATTTTAATTTGTTTTTCCGAACCATTTTGGCGCCCCCTAAGGTCGGCGCCCGGGGTCATATCCCCCCCCCCCGCTACGCCTCTGATCAGACCCAATGTTTACCATCAGCCTGACCCTATGTTGCCCATCTACAGGAGAAACAAATTGAAGAAGCCAAGGCCAAGTTGAAGGCCGAGAAATCCGCCCGGGGGGAGCCGGACAGTGACGAGGAGGACGGGGCAGAGGAGAAGCAGGTCAGCAAGATCCTGGGCAAGTACTACATCCCCAGGAGCCGTTACAAGGGGCCGATGGTAATCAAAGATCAGGGCCTGCCACCCTTGCAGATCTTCAAAGGCAAGGTGAGTTGTCTTACCCGGAACATTGGCTATTGCTGTTGCACCTATATTATAGTTGATCACAATGCACCATTTTCCATCGTATTTATTAGTTTATTTGCTGTTGTGTAAATATCATATCATAAATATATAGCCCACGTATTTAGCTTCCTTATTAAAATTGTACCAAAATAAAATGTTCCAAATGTGTTGTTCTAATTGAGCACACATACAAAATAAGCTGTTATTTATTATGGAGGGATACATATATTGCTACAAACATGTTTGTTCTAGTGCTTTTAAGAATGTTCAAAAGAGTGTATGCATATACTGTGCTGTGCTATTATATGATGTTCTGTGATGTTCTGGGATGTTATGTTCTTTTATATTTTGTGATATTATGTCATGTTCTTTGATGTTCTTTGATGTTCTTTGATGTTATTTGATGTTCTTTGATGTTCTTTGATGTTCTTTGATGTTCGTTGATGTTCTATTGTGTTCTGTTCTGTAATGTTCTGATCTGCCCATTGCCCCCCCTTCTCTACCCCACACAGTGCGCCCCCTACCAGACGACACTACCCAGAGATATCTTCCCCATGGAACCTCTGTACAAGCCACCCACATTCTTTGACATAGACTCCAGGCGGCCGTTACAAAACAAGTCCAAACGGATCACCCGTCAGGTAGGAAAGGTGCTCACTTTCATTGTCAGTCATTTCAATTTTGTCAGGGTTTTCTTTTGGGTAGGAAAGATGCTCACTTTCATTGTCAGCCGTTTCTGTTAAGTCAGGTTTTTCTTTCAGGTAGGAAAGATGCTCACTTTCATTGTCAGTCATTTCAATTTTTTCACGGTTTTTTCCAGTAGGAAAGATGCTCACTTTCATTGTCAGCCGTTTCTGTTAAGTCAGGTTTTTCTTTCAGGTAGGAAAGATGCTCACTTTCATTGTCAGTCATTTCAATTTTGTCAGGGTTTTCTTTTGGGTAGGAAAGATGCTCACTTTCATTGTCAGCCGTTTCTGTTAAGTCAGGTTTTTCTTTCAGGTAGGAAAGATGCTCACTTTCATTGTCAGTCATTTCAATTTTTTCACGGTTTTTTCCAGTAGGAAAGATGCTCAGTTTCATTGTCAGTCGTTTCAATTTAGTCAGGGTTTTTTTTCAGGTAGGAAAGATGCTCAGTTTCATTTTCAGTTATTTCATTTTGTCAGGTTTTTCTTTCAGGTAGGAAAGATGCTCAGTTTCATCGTCAGGCAATTCTGTAGAGTCAGGTTATTTCTTCACATAATTGTGATACCACATGCATTCCTGCAAGCAATTTGATCTGATTGTTCACCATACAATAGACAATGAAACAATTCAGCCTGATTATCGAATTTTAATTAGACAATGAACCTATTATTAGACGATGAACCATTTTAATCTTATTATCCAACACCAATTAGATTATGAACCAATTAACCCGATTGGTTAATTCATTCATTACATGATGAGCCAATTTAACAGAAATGTCTTACACTAATTAGGTGATGAGTCAACATTAATTAGATGATGAACCAATTAACCTGATTATCCAACACTAATTTAATGATGAACCAATTAACCCGATTGCCCACCATTCATTACATGATAAACCAATTTAATCAAACACTAATTAGATGATGAACCAATTAACCCGATTGTCCAACACTAATTAGATGATGAACCAATTTAACCTGATATGTGGTGACCCAATTCGCTACGGTCAACAAAGTCGCAGCCAATCAGGATCCAGCTGGGCATCCACGCCCACCAAACGGATCTCACAAGGTGTGGTTTAAATTAGAGAATTAAATGTTCTTTTGTTTACCGTGTAAATGATTAAATATTTTGTCTTGTTTATTTTATAAATGATATAATAATTTGTTTTGTTTACCTAATTTTTTTTTTTTTTTTTTTTTTTTTTGGCAATTTTTCTCTTTTTCCCTAATAAATGATGGAATAATTTAGTTTACTTAATAAATGATAGAATATTGTGTTTTTGTTTACTTAATGATATATTTTTTGACCTAATAAATTATATATTTTGTTTTTATGCAATAAATAATAAAACCTTTTGTTTTTTTTAACTTACTGAATGATAAAATATTTTGTTTAATTAACTAATATTTAGAAGATCTAACAACTGTAAAAATATACTTAATTGAAAATACAATTTCTTCTAAATATTTTTTTCTGTTACAGGTGCAGTTTCCAAATGTGAGTAGACAAACAGCCAAAAATTAATTCCTATACAACGTTACAGTTATTTCCCCTTACAAATGCTCAAACTTGTTTGTAGAAAAAATACTGCAGCATTTAAATTATATTGTATTTTTTTCGTATATGGCCTACACTCTAAACTCTAAATGACATTCGACTTAAGTTATTGTTTTTTTAAATTAAAATAAATAAACAATTGGTCTAATTTTGATAAGCACATGTTTCCTAGAACTGCCGTGAAAAACTAAAGTATTAACGTTTAACTTTCAGATATCTTTCATTAACCCCCCCCCCCCCCCAAAAGAAAAAATGAAAAAAAAACCAACGCAGTAGTACATGTACCAGAACAATATTTCCCGACAGCCACTTCCCGAACTTACAACCCTTATCAATGAGTAGATTTCTAATTAATTAGTAAGCTTAAGCATATCAAAATGCATATTGAAATACACCATATTAAGTTGAGCCTGATTCCCAAATCTCCTCCTGCTATCCGCTTATCTTTGGTACGCCTTAACGGAAAAGGAATTTCCCCCTACCCCCCTCCGCCCACTTTTTTCCCTTTTCTTTTTTTCTCTCTCCCAGCCAGCATCAACGTGGCCGACCAGAACTCCAACCTGACCCACAACAGATACAACGAGTCACGTGACTACACCCTGAACCACAGCCCCGACCACCTTGAGAAGTCAGTCTACTTTCACTTTCGTTTCTACTTTCACTTTCGTTTTACCCATTTCCGCTATCGCAGTAACGCCCACTTAACCTGTTTTAGACCTGGTTCATTAGTACTTAAGTAGATAGAAATCATGCGTGCATAGCGAAGAAATTCAGTTTAGCTAATTAACTCATAGCGATTTTTACGATGTTGGCCTATTGAAATCTACACATTTGCAAAACCTGTGTGGTAGTTTGTGTATCTCTGAGTATTTTAGATCTAGTTCTTCTTCCTTCTTAATTTTAATGTTGGAAGGGATCCCCTCCAACTCAATTATGTATACGTGTCAATTGGTTATGCAATTGGTTATGCACAATTGAGGCCATTGACTCCGATTTCAGCCTGCTTTTCTTTTTGGATATGCTTCGATAGCCTTTGTCCAACCAAGAAAAAACTACAAGACAGCAGTTGTTTGATTTTGGAGTTGTCTCTCCTAGAAGAGTGGCTGTCTCCAGCTAACGAGCCTCATCTGCCCGAGTGTTCGAACTCGAGACTTTTTTGTTTAGCAGCCATGAGCTTTACCGAGTCGACTACGCCGGGGCCTATATCACGTTAAATAGTGAGCCATTGGGTAGACATGTCGTGTGTGACATAGACGTAACTAGGCGAAGTCAGGTGGGGCGCAGCCCCTGGCGCCTACCCTCTGGCGTCGACAAACAGTTTAGAGGAAGAAATGATAAGCTTAGTTTGAACTCTAGCACTGAATAGTTCAGTTAAAAATTGACTGCTATTTGGCTTTACTTAGTTGACTGTTGCTATCTCAATTATGAGACACAAAAGTAAAAACTTCTAAGAGACAGTAGCTATAAATAGAAATTTTAAAAAGGTTAGAAGCGACTAAAATAATTGTAAATACTATACACATTTTACTGTGAGATATTTTTCTAAGATATTTTGTCTGAGGTCATTTGTCCACGGTATCGTTTGTAGTGATATATTTTGTCCTGATATCTTTTTTCCGTGAGATCATTTGTCTTGAGATCATTGTCATGAGATCATTTGTCCGTGAGATATTTTGTCTGAGATCATTTGTCCATGGTTTTATAATTTGTCTTGATATATTTATCCTTATATCTTTTTGTCCGTGATATTATTTGTCCTTGAGATAATTTGTCCTGATATCTTTTGTCATGAGATCATTTTTCCGTGAGACATTTTTTGTCTGGGATATTTTGTCTGAGATCATTTGTCATGGAACCTTTTATATTTATGTGTGAACTCCTTCTCCTCCTCAGCCGCCGCCGCCTCTACTCCAGCACCAGCGACCTTGAACCCAAACATTACACCGGGACCGTGGCCGACGCCGTCAAAGGTTTAGCCCAGAGCTTTATGTCGGAGAACCCCGACGACACCGACTGGCTGTACAACTCGATGCGCATGTCGGAACATTCCCGACCGGACACGCGCAGCCTCAGCGAGACTTTCCCGGAGACCGACACTTCCAGGCGGAAGTCCCGGAGCTACCTGAACGACACCTGGTCTCAAACGGACATGCGCAGTAGCTGCCTGAGCCCGGAGGGTCATTCGTTGTGCTGGAGCCCTAAATTCCCCGGGGAGAGGCTGTTGCGTCGGGAACACTGGTCGGAATCTTCCGTCATCGAGTCGTCGGAAACCGACGCGTATATGAGCCTGTCGTCGGAAATGGAGCTGGGGCCGGAACTGCTACAGCGGGTCAGGGACGCGCTGAACTATGACCCCAGTAAACCGGAAGAGGATGGGGCTTCGGAGAGCGAGCTGGCCAGCCCTTTCCAGCCCCGACGCCCGTACGCCCCCATGTTGAAGGGAAGTAATTCTGTTCTCCCGCCGGTGAAGCCGAGAAAGGATAAAAAAAACCTGAAAGTCAACTATTCCTTTTTGTTATAAAAGTTCACGATTAGCTATACTGGAGCTAATTTTTTTTATTTGATCTCCAGAATTTAAAACAAAAACAATTTTAAAACTTTTGTGTATTTATTCATAGTTATGGGATAAGTACATTTTGAATATTAACTTTTTTTTTCATAGAAAAATTTAAAATCTATTGAAATATTTACATATGCTTATAAAATTTCACATTTGACTTGTGTCATTTATTTTGATTGTTTTAACTGCTAAATTTGGATGTTTAGAAAAATATTGTAATCGTACGTTTAGCTTTTGACTACAGGTACATAATATGTGGGATCATTTTATTGGGAAATTAAAAGGTAATTTCTGTACGGCCATGGATATGATGGATCTCATGATGGACGGCCATGGATTTTAAGGGTCTCGTGATGGACGGCCATGGATGTGAAGTACATTCAAAGTCACCCAAAAGACGCAATGTGACTGAAAAGTCACATTATGGACGGCCATGATTACAAAGAGACAAGACGTAACATGTTTTGAATTTCATATGACACAAAAGTACTTGTTGTATAAATTACATATAAATTGTGCTCAAACTAATTATTCTACAAATAACACATAAATGAACATTACACTACTTGGTTTCCAAATAACACATAAATGTAGATAAAACATGTCTAGAAATTACCGAGTATAAAAGGGGATACAATTACATGTTTCCATTATCACTTCACGCCCTTGAATGTTAATAATCTAATCTGTTCTTGCACCAATCTAAAGTTTATTACACTTAAAAGGTAAAATATGTACACATCTTCAACCCACCTTACAAGTAACTTACGCCATGTTTTCTAATTTTACATGTAGCAAGTGGTTATTTTTCTAATTAACATTTAACAAGATTAATAGTTAAGACATTTAACAACAGTAAATCAAGAAAAAGTAATGTGGACTCCCACCCTCCCCCAAACCACACTCTTGTTTTATCCCGGTAAGATAAGTGGACGCACCCTCCCGTCCTAACCCCTCCCTTGTGTATTATCAAGGTAAGATAAGTGGACACCCCCTCCCCTCCTAACCCCTCCCTTGTGTATTATCAAGGTAAGATAAGTGGACACCCCCTCCCAATCCCTCCCGTGTGTATAACCCAGGTGAGATAACAGGTACAAGAACCCCGCCACTAAAAGACCAGCAGACACAGGACGGTGCCGAGAGTGATTTGCTTGTAACGATCTGTTGATAGACTCGCCTGGTTTACCAAGGGATATAGGTAAATATTGATTTCAAAATGGCGGCGTCGCGGCCTGTGAACGGTTTTACTTTCTGTGACTTTTCTTTGACTGGCCGTGTCTTGTTTACTGTGTAGCTGTGTGTAGTTCTTTCAGGTGTGTTCGTTCAGTGTAAGGAAATTTCCAGCAAGGATTTAAATAACAAACACTAGTTAGATAAACTTTAAACTTTAATAAAAACTTGAATAACAATTGAGACCAAAGGGACGAAAGTCAAAAAATGTGTTTGATTCACATGGCAATGCGTAAGATTTACTACTGTGTGTTTTTATTTTTATTTTTAAATTTCATTTTTATCCTTCGGATTTGTCACTTTCTTTATTTTGTTTAATAATCGAACGCGAATTAATTTTTTTTTATTAATAGACTGCTCGACGATTTTACTTGAATACATTACAATTTTCGACTGTTTTGTTTTCATTTCAAAATAGTTAAAATTTTGTTTTCAATAGCGATAATATAAGTTAGTCTTGTGGCAAATTTTATATTATAAACATAATTATACTTTACTTTCTGTGTTAAGTCAAAAGTATTGGACTAGATGCCTTATTTTTAGCGCTTTATTCTATTCTTAAAACAGTATTCACTTACTTTACTATTGACAAAACAACAGTTTAAAAATTCACTTTTTAAACTATAAGTTTAATTTATTTAAGAAATAATGAAGAAAATCCATGCGTCAAAAGCGTTTTTTTATAAATTATATTTAAATCTCTATTCATCAACATGCTAAATACTTTTTTATAAATTTTAGTTTTTGCTACTCATCAATAGCGTCACTAGGTGCGGGAAGGGGGGGGGGGGAGTTGTCACCCTCTCGTGTGTCGCTATTTCTCTCCGTTCCTTGAATTTGAAAGCAAGACGGTAAATAAAACGAATCGATAATCGAAAGTCGAAGTATATGATCGGTTTTGTAGTCCAGTACCCCCCACGCCAACACACCTGAGGTACCTTGATACAGGTGAGTCGCAGAACTGACACACAGGTCTTTGGTCTGGTTCCAAGTGTCTCATTGACTGCGCGGGTATGGCGGTTTTTGTTGTTGGGAGATTATGCAAATGAGGGAAACTTTATTAAAATGGAATTAAAATTTTAAAAGGGGGAGTGTTTCTATTCAAAGTATGTCGAGTATTCTAGTGAAAAATATTTTCGTTTTTTTTTTAAATAGGTTTTAATGTATTTAGTAAATAAATAATAAAATGTTTGACGCATTAGTAATACTTTGTCAATAACAAAGCAATTAAAAAGAAATGTGAAGGTTGAATTTTTAAAGTATATGTTATAGAACCATTAAACGACTTATATCTTCAGTAAAATATGCCAGCACACGCCCATGAAATGAAGACTAAGCCTGTTCACGAATGTACAACATCTTTACAAGCAATCCTACTAGTTGTAAAAAATCAGTCAAACAAATCATGTTTGTAGCCTGCGTAGAGAAAAAAAACAAGTATAAAAGTCATGTATTAAAATCACGTATATAAATAATAAAATAATGTATAAAAATCATGAATGAAAATCATGTATAAAATAAAAAAAATAAAAATTGTTTATAACAATTATGTATTTAAAAAGTATACAAATAATGTGTAACATATTTGTATACAAATAAGGTATAAAAATCATGTTTAGCTGGAATAAAAGAGTACATTACATTTAATAAGAAACAACAACAAGCGCGAAACATTTAAAGAGATTTACTACTTGTGTGGTTGTTACTAAAATTACGTTTACAATAAATTGAGTTTGTAATAAGTAAATCAGATTTGTAATGTAAATGTATATAAAATTTTCATAAATGCCTGATTTTCTCGTGACTTTTGCCAGATAAATTGTTGAATGTGTAACATTTTTCTCCATTACATGTATGTTTTTTTAACACGTTTTTCTTAACTCAGCTTCGCGTTTGTTTGTTGTTAAAATTGACAACGAAAATTAGCCAACTTCTGATTGCTCTAGAGATCTGAAATTCGGCATAGAGGCTACTTTCGCCTAACAATTTCAGATGCAATCATAAAAACTAGCAATTAGAGACCGTATTTAGCTTAATTTAATTACGCCCCAAGGACCATAAAATTGAGGACATGATTTCTAAAGATACCGACAAGACTGGAGGCCTATTGACACAGTTACTTCGGCCCCAATCGATGTGAGCGCGCTGGCCGTGATCGTATAGTGGTTAGTACTTCGCGTTGTGGCCGCGACAACCCAGGTTCGAATCCTGGTCACGGCATGTAGGCTTAATTAAATTACGCCCCTTCTCTGTTTAAAGCGTATCGGTCGCTCAAAATTTTTAGTCCGTGTATTTAAAAACACTTAGTCAAGTCATACTTAATCAAGTCATTAGATGAAGTAGAAAATAAACTATATAAAAAACTTTTTAAAAACCACGTTTTTCATGTGTAGCAACGGACTAAAAAGGAGAAAATAAAATACTTAAAAAAACTTTTTAAAAAACCACGTTTTTCTTGTGGACTAAAAAGTAGAAAATAAATTTTCATACATTTGATGACAAACAATAATCATTAAAAAAGTTTTAAAAACCCACGTTTTCTGATTGAACTAAAAAGTAGAAAATAAATGCTATTCATCACAATAATGCAAGCGATCACTCTACTATAAGCGATGAAAAACTTGGAGCGCCGAAGTAAAAGTTATATTACTATTGATCAGATAATACTATTGACTTTTATTAGGGAGCTTGTAGAGAGTCAACAGTATTAGAAACTGTAAGAAAATCACGGCGCCCCACGTTTTTCATCGCTTTCAATAGCAACCAGTTGTTACGTTCTGGTTGTTTGTAGACAAACACCGCGTGACAACTACTCAGTAAGCAAAAAGAGGGAGAGTACCGAACCTTGTTTTCATCAAATTACAGTTACTGGGTTATGTCCCTTTTTTCCCCACGTTTTTTGTACAATTATATAGGAGTATAAAATGATCAATAAAATGTTTCCATGGATCAATTTAGTAATAATAACAGTTGAATATTTTATTGTCATCCGAAACAAAGCTTCCCTGAAAATTTCAGCGCGCTAGCTAACTGGGAAGTGCCCGAAATTGCGATCGCAAGATTTGATTGGAAAAACAAACAAACAAACAAACAGACGCGAAAGCAAGTTAAAGAAAACGTGGGAAAAACGTGGGTCGGGCAGATGGGTCGGGAAATTTGATGATGAACGTACCCACGTTTTTTGTCATCAAATGTATGAAAATTTATTTTCTACTTTTTAGTCCACAAGAAAAACGTGGTTTTTTAAAAAGTTTTTTTAAAAGTATTTTCTGACTTAAGTGTGTATTTTTAAAAATAATTCTAATGTTTCTATGTAATTGTTGAAGGTCAGTGTTGAAGGCCACACGACATCTATATTGAGACATCTTAGCCAGGACCTGTATCCCCAGGTGGGGGTCTGAACCCGTGGGGTCAAGATGGCCAGTCCCAGGCTCCCCTACCCCGAGCTCAAGTCCAACAGGCTTGGTTTCCCAGACTCCTCCACTCCTGCCATGAACAGCAGTCGTCTGGCGGATGGGTAGGTCTGGCACTCTTCTGCTGGTGGGAGGGGGGTGGGGGTGGGGTTGGGGGGGAGAGGGGGGATGATGTGTTCTGGGAGGGAGGATTGGTATTCTCGCTTGAAGGTGTGGTTTTCGAAACATCGAAAGTTTGGGGCGTTCGATGAAAATGAAATTTGGCTAAGACTGATGTGAATGATATGATGGGTATGGTAGAATAGTGGGGTGTAGTTAGTGGATTGGAGTTCGTCTATCTTGGGAATGTGGTTAGGATGATGCTTGGGGGCATGACACTAATTAGTTATATTTTCATTCGCATAGCCTTTTAGCCAACACATTACACTGCCATCAATTATGCAATCCCGTTACAATCCAACTAAATTCTAAACGATGATAAATATAACACGAGTTAAACTTTTCCCCTGACCACGGCATATGAAGAGAGTGTCTATTCCTTTTTTAACAGCCTCAGTTACTTTCATATCGCTAATCAGGTACCCATCATACATTGGTAAACTCAAGGAAGTCCTAAATGAAATGAGTTCACGGGGTCGGCTTGGTCGAGTCGGTAAAGCTCTTGGTTGCTAAACCGAAAAGTCTGGAGTTCGAGCCCTCGGTCATATGAGGCTCGTTAGCTGGGGACAGCAACTCTTTAAGAAGACACGACTCCAAAATCAAACAACTGCCTCATTGAAGTTTGTCCCCATTCCAACACTAACATTAAGAACGGAGAAGAAGAAGAAAATAATCGATTCCGTATTTCGTACAAGAAACTTTCGGATTAACAACCGTACGCTGTACTTCCAAGTCACATAGATCTTAATCGAATGCGTGTGATCTATGTATAACAGTCTAACTATGATTTCTTTTCATTTCCCGCACGAACAGAATAGAACATAAAATCCTCGAGTTTGATGTTGACATCCTAGACGCCGTGTTCAACAAACCTGGACGGTACTTTGTCAAGATGACCATCCAAAGTTTGGCCACTAAAGATTATTCCAAGGTAATATTTTATCACTAGTTGGCCATCCAAAGTTTGGCCACTAAAGATTATTCCAAGGTAATAATAACTCATCTCATTAGCTGAACACCCATAGTTACCCACCAAAGATCGTTTCAAGGTAATAATAACACATTTTTTATTAGTGAATTTGTTGACTATACAAAGTCTGGCCACCAAATACTATTCCAAGGTTCAAATCACACATCTCATTAGCTGACCATCTATAGTTTGGGTTAGGCCACCAAAGATTATTCTAAGGTAAACAAATGCACATTGCATTGGTATATCATCATTGAATCTTTTCCCGTCTCTACAGAGTGCACAAGTGGCCACTCCCAGAAAGTTGTTTTGTATATTTCTGTGTTTTGTACATTTCTGTGTTTTGTACATTTTTATGATTTGTACATTTTTGTGTTTTGTACATTTCTGTGTTTTGTACATTTTTATGATTTGTACATTTTTGTGTTTTGTACATTTTTGTGTTTTGTACATTTTTGTGGTTTGTACATTTCTGTGTTTTGTACATTTTTGTGTTTTGTACATTTTTATGATTTGTACATTTTTGTGTTTTGTACATTTCTGTGTTTTGCACATTTTTGTTGTTCGTCCTTTTCTCACTTTTCTACTCCCAATTAAGAACAAGCCATTCCATGCGTTTCAATATATATATATATATATATATATATATATATATATATATATATATATATATATATATATATATATATATATATATATAATATATATAAGTATTTAACTCCATTTTTTACGCATTTATTCCAACTCTTGTCTTCTATACTTATTAATACTTGCGTGTTTTCTTAGTGAATGCCATTTTTTGTGAGTGTTGAGCTTAAACAAAAAACATCTTATTTATTTGAAATACGTTTTATCTCCTATCCCACAATCCTTCAGATTTTATTACGGAAGTGGCCGGATGAGAGTTTTGTGCGAGACTACGAGGCCGTGACCAGCGTGGTCAACCAAAAGGGCTCAGAGAATGAGCCAGAGCTGTGTGTGTTCGAGGACAAAAAATTCACCTACCGTTTACCTGCAGGTGAGTCAAGAGTTACCTGTCCTTGGTTGTTTTCCATTACTAGCTGTCGGTACCCATGATAGGCCTATATATTTTTGATGTTATATGTATTTGGAAAAAAATAATTTATGAAATAGTTATTGTTGTTCTTTCCTTAGTTTAAACATGTGGCATTTGACGTCATCATTTATTGCGTTCTTTTCAAAACAATCAATGCATTTCCGGTTGCATTTTCAAAAGTGTGTTTCTAAATTCGAATATACCTTGATTTTTATTTCCCTTCTTTAAATAAAATTAAGTTATACATTTATATCAAGTGCCATATTATTTTCAAAAAAGTATGTATCTTTAAGTTCTTCATATATCGCTGAACATACTGATCACATCGCCTAAAAAAAAAAACTTAAAGACAGACAGAGAGAAAGAGGTGCGAACATGGGCTTTTATATATTAGGATGGCAGTATTAAAGATTTAATGTCTCACTTATCTCTCTAAATAAAACAGCGATACAGACATACAAAATATACCTTGGTACGATTGCTTTGTTACTCTTGTGAAGGATAGATAAGAAAGATTAAGTAAAGGTGGCACTGGCATATGCGGGGGTGCAAAGGTTATAGCTCGATGTTAAAGTTCACCTTTATGTTATTACTATTCGAAGTCTATTGATAGCATCTCCAAGTCATTATTTATTTAGTCATGGTTTTCCCTAGCGATGTAATCCTTTCTGTAATAGTACAACATTCTGGTGTCCAGATTCAGCATGAGGTAGTGGTAGTCGTAAGGGGGTGGGGAATGAATAGATATCTTGAATAATGAAGTACATGACACACTTCATCGTAAAATGTGGTGAAGTGCAATAATTTGACCTAGTTCCGGTCCAGAAGAATATCACCATCGTTACTACACAAGTTATTACTTTTGTCAGGGGTCGGCGTGGTCTAGTCTCTAAAGCTCATGTTTGGTAAACCGGAAAGTCTCGAGTTCGAACCCTCGAACTCCAAAATCAAACAAGTGCTGCCTTGTAGTTTGTTCTTGTTGACAGTATCCTTAATTGTGTTAAAGAGGGATCCCTTCCAACACTAAAATTAAGAACGAAGAAGAAGAAGAAAGATTACTCTTGTCGTTAGTCTACACATCTGCAGGTTTATATATATAGCTTTCTACAACTAAACGACAATTATTTACGGCATTTTGTTACACCGACCAGGTGCTAAAAAAATCACAGCTTAAGTTGTCCTAATGACACTAGTGCCCGCGTTGTTTCTTTCAGTCATTTTTCTCTCCGGGGTTGGGTTGTAGAAACTTGAAACCTTCGGGGATAGGGGAGGCGCACTTTAACTTACGGGAGAGGGAGACAGACACTAGTTACTGTATATATTTTCTATAAAAGTTTTTACTTTTAAAAAAAATGGTGGGGGGGTGGAGGAAAGGCGTGCATGTGTCGGGGAAGCAGACACTAATTACTGTATATATTTTCTATTAAATTTTTTTTTACTTTAAAATTTTTTGGGTTCGGGGGTTGAGGGGCGTGCATGTGTCGCGGAGGGGAGGGGGTGTAATGCCTCCTGCTGAAGATATCCTGACACAAACTCTGATTCTCCGAGCAGGTTTCTGTAAACACGACCGGAACCATGACGTCTACCTGTTGCTGGAAGCGTTCGATCTGCCGGCAAACAGCCAGGACATGGGCAAGAAGGTGGGGGAGGGCAAGGTGGCCATTTACCCCCGGACCAACGCCCCCCGGACTAATCACAACGTCAACCCGGGGGAGGACATGTACAGGTGAGTGAGGTTATTACAGGTAGATATGGTTGGGATATAGATAGATTGGTTAGAGTAACAGGTAGAGGGGTTAGGTTACAGGTAGGTGTATTAAAATTTTTAGGATCAATGGATTTGGGTAAAGTGTAGAGGGATTTAGGGTTATAGCTAGAGTCAGTGGCGTAGCGAGGTCGCGTGTCACCCGGTGCGGCACTTAATGGTGTCACCCCCCAGAGGCGTAGCGACCCTTCCCGGGGACAAACTTTCAATTTCCGATTTGCACACCCCCCTCAAACTTTCGATTTACACCCCTCCCCCTCAAACTTGCTATATTTTACCTTGGTGTCACCCCCCCAAATGGTGTCACCACCCTTGCTACGCCACTCCCTCAGACACAAAGACCTGTCTATATTTAATTCGTTTTTAACCACGTGACTCAGACACACACAAGTTGTCGCCCTGCTCAGGACTACCAGCAAACAGGGAAAAGCCGAAATGCATTGCGGGAGGATGAGGTGTAACTTCGCCCTCAAGGAGTACAACGATGAGGCGGAGAGGAAGAAGAAAAAGGAGGAGGAAGAGAGGAAAAGAGAGGAGGAGGAGAGGAGAGAGGCGGCCAGGAGAGAAGAGGAGGAGAGAAAGAGGAGAGAGGAAGAGGACAGGAGGAGGAGGGAGATAGAGGAGCACAGAGAGGCGGAGAGGAGGAGGGAGGAGGAAGAAGAGAAGGAGAGGAAGAGGTTGGAACAGGAGGCGAAACTTAAAGAAACAGAAAATCCGTTTCAGGTAAAATGTTTTATGTTGATTCATAAGGGGGTGCTATTCTTTCAGCTTACATTAAGTAACTGTTTTTAAATGTATGGTATTACATACAATAAAAAGTACAGCGTGGTCGAATGGTAGAGCGTTAGACTGCTAACTCGAATGTCTCTTGTTCGGATCACTAGGACATCCTTGAGTCATCCCAGGTGTGGCGGGTACCCAGTTTTTCTTCCAGACTTTTTTCTCCTTTTCTCCGGGGGGGCACTTGAAATTTTCGGGGGGGGGGGGGCGGTAAACTCTCTCCGGGGGGGGGGCGGACACTGTTAAAAGTATATATTTTCTATATAAATGATATAAATTTCATTTCGTTCGGGGGGGGGGGGCGGTAAAAAATTTTCGGGGGGGGGGGGGGGGGAGAAACTCTGCGGGTACCTGACTTACGTTAGGAAGAGTAAGGACCGTTAGACATTGTTCTGACAACAATATCCCATCATATGCCGAGGTCACAGAAACAGGTGAATTCTACTTCCCTTGCCCAATATACCATAAGGATTGAAAGCATACCTTATAAATAGAATAAATATATTACATCGATTGTTTTGCTTCAATAGTAACCCTGTTCATCACGCCTAAAATATATGTACATGTATTAGAAACAATCTCCCCTATGCCAAGGAATAAAGATAAAAAAAAATGTCTTACCTACAATTTTTTTAAACTTGTTTCTGAGCTAAGATTTACGTTGTTTATCAGACTCCTATCTAGCACCGTATTTATTGTGACTCCTATAACCATATGTACCAAGATGTTATGTCAACTATAAAATTAGATCACGATTGCTACCTCGCTTTAAAAGCAAAACGTCATATCCGTCCTGATTTCTAAAACCATATTTTGTAAATAAACTCTTTCTATTATCAACAGAAGGATGCCTTTCAGGTAGGTCAAGGACAATAGGAAGATTTTTATTTAATGTGCATGCCCTTAAAAAGCTGCCTGATAATTACTTTTACATTTATAATGTAGGCATTGAAGGCATTATTTATTTTATGTACACCTATAGTAGGCCTATAAGGCAAAACTTATTTTAATACAGCATACACAACGTATATTTGGTATTTATTATGTGTATATCATCGTATTTGCATGAAGTGAATAATATTGTTATTAAAGGGATTGTATTTGTATATTCCCCTTTCAACATCTTTCGTATATTCTTATAGCGTTAACCATGCATGGTAAAATGTAAGATGATGAAATATAATTTATTTGTTATGCAGCTTAAGTTAGTTTTTTTTAACTAATGTTAGAAGTAAAACCTCACATTTAACTCTAAAACAATACTATAGTATCAGTATAGCGATATATGTTGACTTGACAGGTAATCGTATATCTGGGTACTACATTACCTGCAAGATAAAATCACATATGTGGGTATAATAATAGCTGGACGTCAAAATCATGTATGTTTGTAATATGTTACATATAAGTTATATTAGATTAGGCAACTACAATACTGGGTGTCACAACCTTATACTATTGGTACACCATGAATAAGACGAGGAACTGTGCACGTAAAAGACAAGTCAGTATCCAGCAGGTCTCGATTGGTCCATGTTTTGCTTGTCTCACCAGGCCCGTCCCAAGGTGGCCCGAACCCCGGGCCCTCACGACCGACCCACCCAGCCCGCAGCGGCGCCATTCAGAGGTCACTCACCCGTCAGTGAGTGGGGCGACAACACGTCCATCAACCTCCCCGTGACGCCATCTCCCTCACCCCCAGCCCAGGATCTCAGGAAAGTGAGTACTGTTGGTTGTTTTATACATAGTTTACATATATATGTGTAAAATAATTGAAATTATCCCACTTTCTTTTTAAAATTTCTGTTACCTGTCATATCTATTTAAACAGTCTCACTCCAATACTTTTGTCTAAATCACCAATACACAATCGGTGTCGATTGGTAGAGTATTCGGCTGCAAGCCCGAAGGTCTTGAGTTCTAATCTCAGTTCCAATTTGTGACTGTAAGACGTTCCTGAACTCATGCAGCTGGGCATTATCCCCTTATATGCCATGGTCATTGAAACAGATTAACTCTACCTCATGTGCCCAATGTGTCTTGGGCACGATAGAAAAAAAAGAGAGATATCCCTATAGCGTCATGCCCACAGCGATGCGTTTATAATAAGTTTATGCACGTCATATACAATGTCACCAATGATAACACACACTGTCTCAGTAAAACTACAATGCTCGAATAGCATTACTTTATATCTCGAAGCTAGATATTATCTCAAGATACTAAGGGTTACATTGTTAACCTTGCAATCGCCATGAAAATAAAAGTTAATGTTAAATATTTATCAACAATCTCTTAATGAAAAACGTGCTGAGCTTTGTATCTTTTTAAACACACAAAAGTTGCTACTTGGAACTAAACTCTAATCCATTCATATGTGAAGTTATTGTACAAGTCAGTGAGTAAAAAACTTTGGGGTTTATAGTCTAATTTCATTGGGACGTTGAAATTACTGTAAAAGATATTGCGTGCACAATTTTGGAGTTAAGTTCAGAGGCGTAGCGATGGGGGGGGGGGGGGGGCAGGGGGGGTACATATGTCCCCGGTCGCCGACCTCAGGTGGCGCCAAAATGGGTTGTAAAATCAAATTAAAATATCATTTTAGCTGCATTTTTGCAGTTTGGGGAGGGGGGGGTGCAAATCGAAAGTTTGAGGGGGGGGGGGGAGGGGTGCAAATTAAAAATTTGCTCCCGAGGGGGGCGCCAAATTGCCAGTTTGTCCCCGGGCGCCGGGAAGGTTCGCTACGCCGCTGGTTAAGTTCTATCCCTTCCATATTGAAACTAGTATAACATTAAAATCTTTTGACTACAAATGCCGGTATTCGCCAGACCGGCGACTCGCATTGTATCCCACCCATATTAAAGCTAGGATAAAATCGTCTGCCTACAAATACCTATCTTCGCCAAACTGGCGATTCGCTATTTATCCCATCCATATTAAAGCTATTATAAAATCCCTTATAACAAATACCTGTTTTCGCCAGACCGGAGACTCGCCACTGCGAGACTACGACAAAACCACGTACAGCTCCAACCAAACATGGCGGCACACGTCCAAACCAGGCCATGACCAGATTGACGTCATCGTCCACGGTGCCAGCAACCTGCCGTCAGCGGCCGGGGGGAAAACTCCTCAGCCTTTCGTCACAGTGTAAGTGGGTTCAAATCTTCTGGCTCGTATGTGGAAATACTTAAATATATAGACATTTAGTTCAATCGTTTCTAGTTGATAGAAAAGTATATATATTTTTTCATTAATAAAGATAATTTTTTCTATAACTATTCGTTGTATAGATTCGGAAGTTTACACAATCATATTTTACTTTTAGAGCAGCAGAGGCGTAGCGACGGGGGTCGTGTGGGTACATATGTCCCCGGGCGCCGATTCTAGGTGCGCCAAAATGGGTTGGAAGAAAACAAAAATTAAAAGATTTTAGCTGCAGTTTTGAATTATAAAAATAAATAATATATGGTTGAGGTGTTAGAATGTTTGTTCCCGGGCGCCGGGAGGGGTCGCTATGCCTCTGTAGAACAGAATGTTAGAAAGTGTAATATTGTCTGCAGCAAAACGCGCAAAGATGTGGACATGAATCGCAAAGCACGGTCAAGGACCCACGCCGTGGCCCGGCCCACCAACATCCCCTCGTGGGAGGAGTTGATGACGCTGGAGCTGACGGACAAGGAGGCGGAGAAGGAAGGTATGACGTCATTAGGGGGCGTGTCGTGATTGTTTTTTAAATGCCCGTTCGTTTCTTAGTGTGTGGTATAAGCTTGCGCAAGCTTATGTGTGTCTGGAATGAGTGCGCGTATGTGTGTGTGTGTGTGTGTGTGTGTGCGTGAGTTTGTGCAAAGGGGTTGTCTGTTGAGGCTGTATTTCTCGTCAGGATCTTTATTTTTCATGTTTCGTTTTTTTTTTTACTGATAATTCAATTTTTTTTTCAACTAACATAAAACAAAACACTAACTGTTAATTCTATTGATTGCGCATAATCATTAGCAACAGAGGCCTTTAATAAATGGTGTGTATATCAATATAGACTTCCTGCCACCTGTAAAGCAAACTTACAATTTCTCCATGATAGGGTTTAATTTAAATAATTACTATCTGACAGTTATGGTCATCACGGTGGATGACGCCATCACCAAAGGTCAGCTCATCAACTACAGCATCCCCATAGCAAACCTGCAGCCGTTTCACCCGTACCACATCGAGATGGTGATGGTAAGCTGCTACTTCAACTACATCTTTTAGACTTACATATAATGTAACGAGATCTATACAACTTGCATTTGTATTAGCTCGATCTATTTAGCATAGATCTATTTTAACTCGATCTATTTAAGTTGTATATATATATATATATATATATATATATATATATATATATATATATATATATATATATATATATATATATATATATATATATATATATATGATAAACAGTTGAGTTTAAGCTATTTTAACTTTTTGACTTATATTTTATCTAGCTTATACAAATCAAATCAATTACAAGTAGATATGTTTGAGTTCTATCTATTTAATTTAGAAAATGGTTTGGCTAATCTAAAATTACATACTATGTCATGTAGCCCGCCAAGGGGGGTCAAGAAGGCGTCAAGCTGTATGCATCCATCATGCGCAAGGCCAGTGCACTGCCCAAAGACCCGTCGTCACCAAACTATCTGGCACTTGAGGTAAGATTATGTGCTACAGGAGCACACGCATTTCGTATTAATTATGTTAATAAGATAATGTTGTGAGTGAACTACAATACACTGACATAGATGCTACCCAATAACATTGAAATTCGTTCAACACATTCAAATACATAGACCTATACTTTAACACTAATCTTCATCTTATCATCTGTTTCGCTCCTTCCAAAGACACATGGAACAAATGAAGTAGCGTTTATCTTTTGCATTGATCTCAACGTACATCGATGTTATGTTGTTCACACTATACCCAGCTGCCTTCGTATCTCTAATTTGAGTCAGGCACCCGTCAGAGCTGGGTGGACTCAGAGACGTCCTACAGACGTCCGGGATCCGAACTAGAGAATTTCATGTTATCTGTCGTGAGCTTTACCCTCCAACCATGAGGTCCAAAATCAAATTAATAAACAAGATTCAATCTGAATGTGATATTTGGGTGTCCGGCTATAACCCCCTGGACAAAAACCACCCCAATTGAGTTCATGTCGCGGGGGGGGGGGGGGGGGGTTATGTCGATTTTGTTTATGTCGTGGGGTTTATGTCCAAGGGGTTTATGTCCAGGGTTTTTTTGACCGGGAGCCAATATTTGAAAATAAACCCTTCCATTCCATTTTGAAGGGCACATACATTAAATATTGATGATAACAATACAGATAAACCTAAGCATTCATCAATATAAAATAGATTCAATGCTAAATAAAAAAATAAAAAAAACTTATTGATAACGATCCTGCTTATTACACAGGTTTTCCTCAGGGGTGTGAAACTCCCGCTACAGAACCCCGTGGGTCCCCTCATTGCTGTAGCCAGAATTGTGCCCGACTACTACAACTACAAGTATGTTCATTCATTGCTTGACACAGCACCCGCATTATATCATTACAATCTTAAGTTATAATTCATGATTAACTACTAAAGACAATGGCTTTGCCCGTTGGTCTTTTAAAAGATAAAGTCCAGAGAAGGGGTAAACTGGCAGTGTCTAAGGAGCCCGGGAAATTTTAAAAGAGGGCTCCAACCCTAGATTAACATTTTCATTTTTTATTTTATTTTTTTCTCTCCATCAAAGCCTACATTTTACATCTTGGCATGAAGAAATTGTAAAAAGCCATTAATTTTAAACAAATCAAAGCTCGAATAGACCTACTGCAGTGGCGTTTCTGGGGGCCCATCCAGGTTTTTTTCCTACGCGCCCACCGGAATTTTTTTCTATAGACCGGCGGGCCAGTCCACTCCCCTGGTCCAGAGTGAGTCTTAAGTCGTACATGTGCGTACTATTTCAGGAGCGACAACTTGCTGACCCAACCCCGGGCCGCTGGGGTGACAATGTCCAGCATCACCTTCCCCAACCCCCACCCTAACACGTTCACGGTCGTGGGGCGGTCATCACACGGATACCCTCAGGTGAGTGTGTCTAAGTATAAACCCCCACATCTTCACCTAAGTATAAACCCCACTTCTTTACCTAAGTATAAACCCCCACATCTTCACCTAAGTATAAACCCAACACCTTCACCAAAGTATAAACGCTGTATTAGAGCTGAATTTTTTTTAATAAAGGGAGACTATCCATATTTTATCATTTTCATACTAATTTTCAGTCCTATTTGAATTAAATAAACTTGGTTTGCTTTTTATTTTTTTATTTTTAGTACTCGTAAGATTAGACAAGGCTTAGATATTTCAAAATACGTAACTGTAAAAACATTTGCTAATTAGCAATTTAAAAAAAAATCACCCAATACGTTTGATTGTAAGATTTTTCTACAAATAATAAACGACTGTATTCATGTTGCTGCCATATATAGATATTGTTTCCATTAAACAAGTTATATGGCAATTACAATGCCGTTATTTTCACAGGTAAGCTTGCTTGGCCGACCAGAGGAACAACCCAAATGGAACCACCCGTACCTGTTCTGCGACACCAAGGACAAGGCCACCATGTTCACACCTACAGCAGCGCTGGTTATAGAGTACTACGTGGCTAATACAGGTGAGTACTGTAGCAATACAGGTAAGTACTGTGGCAGTGAGTAGTGTGACAATACAGGTGAGTAACGGAACAATACAAGTCAGTATTGTGGGAATACAGGTGAGTACGATAGCAATACATGTGAGTTCTGCGGTAGTGAGTATTGTGGCAATACAGAATGCTGTCACAACAGCGGGGAGTATTATAACATTAGTCTGTTATCACAATACATGTGATTAGTATCACATAACAGGCTAGTACTGTCACAGTAGATTACTGTCACAATATATGTGAATACTGTTCTAATACAGGTAAGTATTGTAACAATACAGGTGAGTTCTGTCACAATACATGTAAGTACTGGCACAATACAGGTAAAATACAGGTAAGTATTGTCACAATACAGGTAAAATACAGGTAAATACTGTAACAGTAGCCTACAGGTAAATACTTTCAAAGTTCACACCACAAGATATTCCTATGCCACTTTTTTGTTGCTGTCAGTTCTGAAGTGTGGCAGTGCCACGACACTTATTGTTTTGGTTACTGTCAGTGTCGTGACACCTATTTCCTTTTACCTTACAGCCATGACTGATGAGTTCTGGAAGATTCGTTCACCTGTTGGTTTCTCCTCTCTGCTGCTGGATCAGAAGGTGTACAAGCAGCTCAGTCAGGAGAAAGCCAAGATGGGCATGCGCGTGGAGGGTGTGCCCATAATGGTGAGTAGTCTAAGGAGGGTGTGCCCATTATGGTGAGTAGACTAGTGGAGGGTGTGCCCATTATGATGAGTAGTCTATGGAGGGTGTGCCCATTATGGTGAGTAGACTAGTGGAGGGTGTGCCCATTATGGTGAGTAATCTATGGAGGGTGTGCCCATTATGGTGAGTAGACTAGTGGAGGGTGTGCCCATTATGGTGAGTAGTGAATGGAGGGTGTGCCCATTATGGTGAGTAGTCTATGGATGGTGTGCCCATTATGGTGAGTAGACTAGTGGGTCACAAAGATGGTGGGGGGGGGGGGGGCATTTAAGGCAACGCACAGTTGGGGTTTGTCATTTTAAGTGACATATAGTTGAGTTATGTCATCTGAGATGACATACTATTGGGGCTTCTCATTTAAGTTGATATAGAAATTTGGTGGTCACTCTAGGTAACACACTGCCTTATTATACTTTTGTAAGGTGCAAAATCTATGCAACCAATCAAATGTCTTTTTACTTTTCTGCAGGGCTCGGAGCTGCGCATGTCAGATGGAAGAGCTCCTCTGATTGGCATGGTCTTGAAGCTGATCACAACTCACGTAAGAACTTTAAATAGACAACAATTAGTTCTGTTTTTACAAGCTTTTATTTAACTCACTTCCTCTGTCTGTCGTCAGTCTGTCTTGACGGAAACGCAGGAGTGAAAATTCGGACAGTTCTACTTGACCGATACGATTCACAGTAGGCACGTGGGTCAAGACATGAAGACAATGCAATCTGAAACTAAATTTGACTTAATTGGATGCCTAATTAATTTTTTATGAATTAATAAAAATTTGGACCGAATTAGTAGGCATGTCTAGCCAACCACACCACACGCGTCATCACCTTCAATAGCTGCGCCATCACGTAAATGCTGCGTTCAAAAACCATTGCGCGCCTACTGAACGTGATGTTCAGTAGGCGCGCAATGGTTTTTAGTCATGTAACTCTATTGTAAATAAAACATGTAAAATACTGAAAAAAAAATTCATAAAAAACGTTTTAATAACAAGCTTTTATGTAATGATGCACTAAAAAGTAGAAAATAAATTATAGACTACTATTTAAATAACTATAAAGAAAAGCGTGGGTGTCTTCCTTAACATTAGTAAAGGTATCCAATAGATACTAAAGTGACCCACGATTTTCTTTATAGTTATTTAAATAGTAGTCTATAATTTATTTTCTACTTTTTAGTGCATCATTACATAAAAGCTTGTTATTAAAACGTTTTTTATGAATTTTTTTTGTTGTTTTTCTTGTATTACATACAATTAGCATGGCTTGATGCATAACTAATAATGGATGAACGAACAATTGTTTCCAAGTGATTTGCGGATTTCTCAATGTGCGGGTGTTTCTTCCAGACATTTTTCAACTCGGGGGCACTTGATCGGGGGGGGGGGGGGGGCGAGGGGGGGCAAGGGGGGGGCGGACCCTAGTAAAAGTATATATTTTCTATATAAATTTCATTACGTTCAAGGTTCCCCCCTCCCACACACACACTAAAGATTTGTCTGCAAGAAACTTGGTCAATGTGATTTCTATATTTTTTACAAGCTTTTATTTAACTTGGCTGTCTGTATATCTGCCGTCATAAGTCGAGACGTGCCCTATCCCGTGTGTTTAAATAACGCATGAAAACAAACAACAATAATCACTGCATGTTTGTCTAGTTCACATAGCCATCTACAGCGTTCAGTTTTGTTTTATTTCCATAGCAACCAGACTCCATGGTGACTATGAGCAACCTGGAAAACCTCCCGTCCATGGAGCTACGAGAGGGGCTGAGCACGGCGCCCCACACGGCAGACGTGTTGCAGATTCGGACACCCTCACCGGAAGTTCAGCCGAAAGAGGGTCCAAGTGAGGAGAAACAGGGAGGGGAGGAGGAGGAGGAGGAAGAGAATCTGGCGCCAGGGATGTATCTGCAGAGAGTGGACAAGAACCGTTTGGTGAGTGGGGCAATGGGTCAGTTGGTCAGTTGGTCAGTCGGTCAGTTGGTCAATGGGTGAGTTGTTCAATGGGTCAGTTGGTCAGTTGGTCAGTTGGTCAGTGGGTCAGTGGGTCAGTTGGTCAGTCGGTCAGTTGGTCAGCTTTGTGAATTGGTCAGTTCAGTGATTGTCAGTTCTTAAATGTGTGAGTTGGTCGGTTGGTCAGTTAGTAAATTGGTTAGCTTGGTAGTTGGTCAGTATGTCACTTTGTCAGTTGGTCATTTTATCAGATAGTCAATGGGTCAGTTGGATGACATTGTGATCGAGAGTCGTTTGGTGAATTGGTTAATAGGTAAGCTTAGTCATTTGCTAAGTTTGCTGAGCCGATGTGTTTGTCAGTTGGTCATTTTATCAGTTGGATATTTTTCAGTTGGATGACATTGTGAACGAGCGACGTTTGGTGAGTTGGTTATTTGGCAAGTTCGTAAGTTGGGCGGTTGGTCATATTGTTATTTAATCAGTTCATCCATTGGTCAGTTTCCATATACATGTATATGGAGTACAAGTACATTTCATGAGTTTTTGCTTGGTCAGTATGTCAGTTGGTCATTTTATCAGTCGGTTATTTGTCAGTTGTATGACACTGTGAACGAAACACAATTAGTCAATAGGTCGTTTGGTCAATTGGTGAGTTGGTCAGTTGATTAGTTAATCAGTTGATCATTTGATTAGTTTGTCATTCGTATTTTCTGAGTGTACGAGAGACATGCAGTCGCTTGGTCAGTAAGTCAGTTGTCTATAAGTCTTTATATAATTTAATCGATTAGTCAGTGAGTTGATTGGTTGGTTAGATGCTCATTTCATCAATTGATGCGTTGGTTAGTTGGTCATTTGAATGTACTTGGTGTACAAAAGACATTTGATGAGTTAGTCGCTTGGTTAGTATGTCAGTTGGTCTGTTGGTCATGTTATTAGTTAATTGATTCGTCAATCGGTTGGTTTGTCGGTTAGTCAAGAGAAATTTGATGAGTTAGTCGCTTGGTCAGTATGTCATTTGGTCTTATGGTCATATCGGTTGATCGATTTGTCGGTTGGTGAGTTGGTCGGTTGGTCAAGAGACATTTGATGAGTTGACCCCTTGGTTTAATGAAATGGTGGAAAGTATTCCGCCACGTATATTGGTTAGTTGTTTACTTGGTTATACCGCTGATATACCGCTCAGCTAACTAGCAGTGTTATAACCCTCCTTGTTCATTTATTCATGTGTTATTCTAAGTAAACAAACAATAATGAAAAGTCTATGGAATCGAATACAGTACTTTCTTTTGTTTTTAAGTTAAATATCAATAACTATTCCGTAACAAATGCCCACTAAAATGTACATTACAATAAATATCGACTACTTTATACTTTACAAAAAACACCCACTACTTTGTACTTTATAACTACACCTAACGTACACCCCTCTCCACCTACCAGCCGCTCAATAGCCGTGACTATATAAGATCAAAAACACTTTAACTAAAGCCACATAAACACTTACACACCAGCCCCCAAACGACAAGCTAATTACCCAGATCAACCAACACTATATCCCCCTCGTGTATTTCTTAACCCCGCTACTAGCCCTTATATTGATCTGCCTACACATACCTTGCTTTTATAGGCCCCCAGTTACCTACAACAAAACTCCCTTAAGCCAGCGGTACACTATCCGTTACCCTCGTTTTTTTTTACCCGTTCAAGTTTTGAACACACCTGCGACGTAATGAGGACAGCGGGGCTCGTCGCTAGGCAACCAGTGTCAACAAGGTGCTAGGGGTCACGGTACGATCCTCTAGGCCGTGTGTTAGGCTAACTTTAGGCCCGATAACAAGTTTTTCGTTATGTGATCCTAGTTTGGACGTAAATATATACTTGTAATAAAACCTACATTTTAGATTTACTAGTTTTGATTTCACTTTTTATAACTTGTTGAAATGTGAATCGGTGTGGACGTGAACTTGAAGATAGTGACACATAAAAGTTAGGGTTAGTGGTGTTTAGTTTTTACTTCTGGCACTTTAATGCCAGTGGATCGATATCGATTTAAAAATAACTTAAATTTGAACCGATTCGACGCTAAGTGATTCAATATGGCGACTATGTACTACCGACCCTATACTTCAGAGGTATGATTTTATTTTATTTACAACATGTTAGCTTAAATCAATGTGTAGTGTCGGTATGTATAAAATCTTAATAAAACAATCTTTTAAGATGATGTAGATTGTTTATGTTTTAATACATGGTCTATTAGAATATGGCACATATTTTAAAACAATTATGTAAGTTATTCTCGTAACGGTATTTAGGGCAGGTGAAATAGAGCGTATTAAGTTGGGTACACATTAGTGCTGAATTGACTCAGGTATAACAAACACAAAACCCACGGAGTGTGTAGCTGTGTGTACTAACCAATTACACATCTAGGTTGAGCTAAAAACAGGAGCAAATTTTTAACGGAGCTTAATGGTGCTAATATTTTGCGAAACTCAACCCTTATCATAATCATAACCCTCCCCTAGCCCTAATACTACTAACAACCCTGACTATAAACCTGACAATAACACTTACCCAAATCATAAATATATCAGTAATAATACACCAACATTCTAAAATGTGCATGGTTGTAGAATACTGTACGGTCCTACCACAGGTTTAAAAAAAAAAATTACCAGACTATTAGATAATGGTAAATTTAATCATGACCTAACCATAGATTATATTAGTCCGTTCATGTATAATTTCATTGACCTGCGGCAGAGACGTTAGACAAAAATATGTACTATACTTTGTGTATTTTTTTTTGCTTACAAATATACTCGATAAATTATCCTAATAGGACTTGTTAAATACTTTGCAATGCATTTCAACTCGTTCACCCCTTTACAAACCATATACTGCACTTTTATTGCATACTATATACAATGTGTTGCTTAAATCATATTTCTGACCAGGGCACACACAGGCATACTCCATCGACATACACGAAGATATAAACAAACACAGGAACACACAGTCTCGTATATATATATATATATATATATATATATATATATATATATATATATATATATATATATATATATATATATATATATATATATATATGTATAATAAATATACATCTATATAATATATAAATCTTATTTATACGAGTATATTATATATATATATATATATATATATATATATATATATATATATATATGTGTGTGTGTGTGTGTGTGTGTGTGTTTAGAGGTAGGAGAGTTTTAGTGACTAGCTTTAGGGTGTTGCGTGTTACCTATTTTATTTGGGCTAGGTTAGTTGTTCGGTGTATGGCTAGTTCTATAAACACTTGACACCTATGAATTCTTTCACGCACACCGGTTTAAGTGTTATTGGTGGAGATCGATAAGCCAGAACGACAAGCGGAAGTTCACACATCAATCAGCAGAACTTCATTAACGTAAACCAATCAATGCTCGCTCGCTGATCGATCATGTTAATCACCCACTCCGTCACGAATGTTATTGCCATCTTCCGGTAGTTGATTACCTATTGTTCACCCCTCCCACCCTTTTCTTTTGACCGCTTCTACTGAGATTACATCACAATGGTATGCTGTTACTTAAAATATATGCCGCTGAACTGGAATTTTTTTTTTATCAAATACTAGAAAAAAGTAGAAATGCTTTTACATGGCAACATCATATTCCAGGTTGATACATATTTCATTAAAACACAGTGATAAAAATGAAGATACAACAATTCTCTTAAATAATCGAATTGATTTACTCCTTCATATGTGTATGCTAACCCTTACTATTCATGCCTTAAATGTTGTGATACGTCAAATTGTAAAAAAAATATTTTTAATAAACTAGACAGAGGCGTTTCGACGGGGGAAGGGGGGGGGGGAGAAGGGGGGGGGGTGCATATGTACCCGGGCGCCGATCCTAGGGGCGCCAAAATAAGCTCATTTTAGCTGCTATTTTTAATTATAAAATAAAAGTGTATGGGGGGGGGGGGGGGCGACAAATTGAAAGTTTGTCCGCGGGTGCCAGGAGGGGTCGCTACGCCTCTGAAACTAGATTTTGTAACAAGTAAGAAGGTTTTAATCCATGTATTAATGTACGTGTCAATCCATCTGTTAATTCACGTGTTAATCCATGTATTAATTAATGTATTAATCAGTGTTTTAATCCACATGTGTTTAACGATGATTGTATCAATGCGTTAATTCCTAAGCTCATACATGTTAATCCTTGTATTAATAACTGTGTTAATTCGCTGTTATCCCGTAACACCAGCCCATCAAAGACGGGGAACTCCCACCTTTTGAAGCCATGGAGTACATCCTCCCTGAGTACCAGTACATCTTCGTGGACCCTAACCAGAACACTGACCGCTCCACCAAGAGCAAGCCACCGCCCCCTTCCCGTCACGTCCAGCCTCCAGACCGGGGAGCGTACACCACCACAACGGCCGCCACTAGGTGACGCTTCTTGTCTGTGTACAGTCATACAATCCCATATTCACGCACTCTCATAATCCCACTTTCCCCGAACTTTCATAATCCCACTTTCGAATAACCCAACATTCCCAAAATCCCACTTTTCTATAACCAACACTCTTATAACCCCACTTTTTAATAACCCTACGCCTATGTAATTCAACACTCCTATAATCCCATTTTTCTATAACTTAACATTCCCGAAATTCCACTTTCGAATAACCCAACATTCCCAAAATCCCACTTTTATGTAACCCGACACTGCTGTAACCTCACTTATTTTATAACCCTACTCCTATGTAACTCAACACTCCTATAATCCCATTCTACTATAATCCAACACTCGTATAACCCTTACTTTCCCAAACTTCAATAATCCCACATTCCTATATCCCAACACTCATGTAAACCCGCGCATCTTTGAGAAGGGTTACATCAATACAAGCTTTGAAATAGATAATAACATTGCAGATAGTGGTTGAAAAATGTGTGTATGTACAATAAGATTCAATGGATACTTTTAGTTCTTCACTTTTAAGAATATATTTATTTAAACGAGTTGTCCGATCACATTATAGATTTTATCATTGTTTGTAACACCACTATAGCAATCCTCTTTACCATCAACCATTCAACTCATTGATAACACTTTGCTTCTTTGTATCACAACATCAGATTTTAAAACGTTTTTGATTGACTTCGTAGGCAGTGGTTGAGGTCATCATGTGATAACGTAACGAAATACGTGGATTCTGTTTTCTCAGGGACCCCAACGACCTTGACCAAACACAGATGAACTTGTTGGACTACCAGATGAGGGACCTGGACAACTACAGGACAGCTGTGCAGAAGATGGGACAGGATATACTAGCACTGAGAACGCAGGTTCGAATCCCACCAACACGTATTCTACAATATATGCTTTTCTTGGAATTTTATGTAGTTCCCTAAAACAGAAAACGGTGTTTCTTCTATTGGGTTAAATTTAGATTAAGTTAGGTATAGATTAACAGCTAGAACTTGTCATAGTTCATAGGTTATGTTTAGGTTAGCGATTGATGAAAGAAAATATTAAAATAATATAAATGCTGTAGTATGTATTTGCTACGTGAAATTCATTAAAATATTAATATTAAGAAACTCTTTCAGCATATTTAATAGCAACTAGATTATGTATCTTGGTTATATTACACTTTCTATAACAATAATAAATTTTGTTATGGTTACATTTTTTTTGCTCAGGTCCGGCAACTCGAGGGAGAGAATAGCAAATTGCGCATTGACGTCAACCATTATGACGACAACAGAAAGTTGTTGATAGACGCGGCAGATTTGGATTCGTTGGCACGTCCAGAGCTGCAAGCCAGATACGGTATAGCTTTACTAAGATCTGTGTGGTGTGTCTTGTTGCGGTGTGTTGGGTCCTGTAAGTTGTGTCGTGTTGTGTGTAACGTTGTATCGTGTCGTGTAGAGTCCTTTCATGTTGTGTTGTGTCCTGTGATGTTGTGCTGTGCTGTGTTGTAATTTATGACTCATGTACCGGAATAAATAGTTTCATAGCTGTGTCATAATGTGTGGTGTTGTGTTGTGCTGTGTAGTTTGTTGTGTTGTTTGGTGTCCTGTCGTATTATGTCGTGTTGTATTGTGTGACGCGCAAAGTTCAATGGATGTGTTTTCATCAAGGTGAATAGATGTGTAAGTGTGCAGGATTTGTTTCATTTATATTATAATGTTATTTTAAGTATTCTCAACGTTAACATGACTATTACACGCATGGTTAAGGAAATATATATATATATATATATATATATATATATATATATATATATATATATATATATATATATATATATATATATATATATATATATATATATATATATATATATATATTTAACAGCCTCACTGAGACAGAAGCTAGCAGCACAAACAACCGAACTAAAAGATTACAAAACAAAAGTACAGAAGCTACAAAATGAACTCATAAAGGTAAATAATTTGATAAAAATCAGCACTTTAAATGCAGTTGCTTCCCTTTACTAACATTTTCCCAACTTTTTAAAATTATATTATTATTTTAAAAATATTTTCTGCATCTATGGCGGCCTAATGAACTTTAACAATTAAGGTAATATCGATATATTTAACAATCATGAAATAACACAGTATCGATAATGCCATCATAGAATACAGATGTATATGTATAAAAAGAAAACTTTCTCCCCCAGAAAAACGACAAGGAAAAAGATTACCTGAAGATGTCCCACGCCCACGCTTCCCAACAGGAGCTGCTGCAGAGACTTCAGGAGAAGGTCCAGAAGGTCAGGAAGCTGGAAGAAACCTGCAAGAAGCAGGAGAAGGTCATCGAGAAGCTGGAGGCTGTCTTGTACAAGATGAGGGGAAAACCCAACAAAGGTCAGGGTCGATTTTATTTGCGAAATTTTCATATTTGAAGTTAGGAATTTTCTACGATAGCAGAGGTATATGTTTTACACCAACATACATAGTATAGCGTTGGGCAATTTTTTTTATTTTTTGGAAAAGATTATTTTGATTTTCTATCCTGCCTTTTCTGAAGTGCTGCCTCCACAATTCTAAAGCTGTACCTGCTTCTATTTGTAACCCAAATAAAAGAACCATTAGCAGAAACAGTAGCAAGTACTGCGTTACATAAAATTACACTTGAATGTTTACCTTACAGATGGTGCTATGAATGAGGTGAACGCTGCTCTGGTGGATGAAAACAAACGGCTCCGAGAGCTGGTTGATGACATGAAGGTAAGCTCAGGTTTTATATTTTCTCATAGTGATATTTAACTCGATAGAGAAGAAATAAATCCACCCTGGTTAAACTTCCCTAAATCTTGGATCTTTTTCAAAACATCCTTCAACACTTGGTTTAGAACCTTTTTTTACAAATAAAGTTCAGCATCATCGACTTTAAACAGACCACCCTGTCTACGTATTTATTTTAAACTTTATTATATAATTTTCGGCTGATCTTAACGTGGTGCATTAATGCGACAGAGGCTACGGATTTACTGTATTATCTTTTAATTAGCTGAAGCTTTAGTCACCTAACATCCTATACAGAATTGTAGCTAACTATGTAGCTTAAACCACCCTAATATCCTATACTACATGTTTTAAACCTCTGTATCACCTAATACCCTCTATAGCAGTGATATATAATATTTTGTAAACAGCGAGTAAACCTCTTTGTTAGTCCCATTTGTTTAACCTCTTTGTTAAACCTCTTTGTTAAACCTCTTTGTTAAACCTCTTTGTTAAACCTCTTTGTTTAACCTCTTTGTTAAACCTCTTTGTTAAACCTCTTTGTTAAACCTCTTTGTTAAACCTATTTGTTAAACCTCTTTGTTTAACCTCTTTGTTAAATCTCTTTGTTAAACCTCTTTGTTAAACCTCTTTGTTAAACCTCTTCGTTAAACCTCTTTGTTCCAGGACCAAATGGCTCGAGCAGGAGCAGGTGGTGGAGAGGACCTTGAAAAACTAGAACTTTACCAAGCGTTGGAGAGAGCAGAGGGTCGAATTATGTCCCTTGAAAAACAGGTAAAAATTTGCTATTTTTTAAAATTGAACGCACGATTACTTTAAAGTGTTGCTTTACAGCTCTTACAGTTTTATTACTTTAGTAACTTGACAACATTTTTTTTCTCACAAACAAATAAAAAAAAATTAAATTCAAGTTTTGGTATAATAAATAAGTTAACGAATGATTGTCTCCCATGTTTTCCCTCCAGCTCCAAGAGAATGCACGCAGTTGGGGGAAGGAACGGGCTGATCTCAGCATTAGGGTCAACGAAGCGGAACACGGCTTTGGTCGCAGTGGTGGGATGATACTTCACGATTACCCGGTCTTGGTATGTGTGTTGTCACACAGTCACAGCAGTTTAAAATCTTAGCAGTTAAAATATCACGTGATTTAGTTAGTGACATAGCCTTTGCAATTGAATAGCACGCAAATGTTGATGGAATTAATGTAGTCGTGTCGATATAGTTAGAAGCTACGCAGTCATAGAAATACTTAGAAGCTACGTAGTCATAGACATATAGTTAGAAGCTACGCAATCATAGACATATACTATATAGTTAGAAGCTACGCATTGAAAGAATATAGTTAGAAGCAACGCAGTCAAAAGAATATAGCTAGAAGCTACGCAGTCATAGACATATAGTTAGAAGCTACGCAGTCAAAATAATATAGCTAGAAGTGACGCAGTCTTAGCAGTACACTATTACGAGATTATTGATACACGTGAAAAAGTCTTACTTGTTGTATGTTACCTGATTGTCTAGCTAGTTAAATGTAACGCAGTGTTTGCAATTCAATATTACGTGATTATATAGTTCAAAGATTACATACATATGAGGTACATTATCCACCAATTAGCACACTCCGCCACATAGTCACTTCATAGTAAGTAACTTACACATAAAGAAGTGCCATTAAAACCTATACTTTTTCTACATTCATTACAACCAGGCATCTTTTTTATTCATTTTTTATCACTTATTTATAAAGCTAACAATGCAATCATATCTATAAAAATGAATTGTTTTTGGTTACTTTTTATTTACATAGAAATACATTGTCTTTCCTCAGGATTCCGCCTATGGAAGATCTTATACAGTACCTTCAAGGCTTGGTCCCTTGTTGAGATAAAATGCTGTTTAAAAAAAAACACATTCATTGCAACTTCCTGTGATAATTAATTACAAATAAGCACTCACGATGTACAGTGTTTCTTTCAGACATGTTTCTTTCTGTTAGAGGGGAGGGGGGAGGGGGCACTTGTTAGTTTTAAAAACATCCAAGTTTGTACACTAGTTATAGTGTATGTTTTTAACAGTACAATAAACACGTTTGCTATTTTCTCTAGGGTTAAGGACGGTCGTGGAGGGGTGGGGAGGGGTCGGGATTGGAAAGATGCCTAAAAGAAACTCTGAATATAATACTTTAGTATGTTAGCTATGTTAATAATTTAATGATTGTGTAAGTGTATATTACATTTAAACAAAAATGTACGAATGTCCAGTAGTTAATGTTAAATTTAAACATTCATTTATTATAATGTGTAATTACTAACTGTACATAAAATGTAAATATAAATATTTTTTATATACATTTTTTAAAGTATCTAACTGTTCTTTTCAGGCATTTCCCATTAAGCAATGAGTTTATATAATGATAATCTGCTCTGTTGGTTATAATTAAAATCTTAGCTTATATTTTAGGACCTAATAAAGTTATTGTACAATAGAATAGAAAAAAAACATTGTTTAAAAAAAACAATTAAGTTCGATATTTGAAACAAAGTGCAACAACTATACACCACCAGAGGAAAAGCTAACACATCATTTAAAATTTAAGAAAGAATAGTTCTTTGATAGTTTCATCATACACTAGGAATGGATTTTTATTACAAACACATTAAACTTCTCTAATATTTTACATGTTTTTTTTTCCTGCATAAATTATATGATTTAATTATGTACCAGACGATATAAATAAAGGTGTACATATAAGAATTGCTAGTTTGTATATGCTTTCATTTTTGTCTAAATGGAACGGCGTGGTCTATAGAAAGTGCGCTAAACTGCTAACCCGAAAGTCTCGAGTTCGTGAGAGCTACAGTCATGTGGATATAATTAGAATCTATGCAGTCATAGGAATATAGTTTCGAACCCTCGGGCAGATGAGGCTCGATAGCTGGGGATGGCAACTCTTCTAGGAGAATCAACTCCAAAATCAAACAACTGCTGCCTTGTAGTTAGTTCTTGGTTGGACAAAGGCTATGGAAGCAAACCAAAAAGAAAATCAGGCTGAAATCGGAGTCAACGGCCTCAATGGCGCATAACGAGTTGACACGTAATACTGAATTATCTTGGAGGGAATACCTTCCAACACTAAAAACTAAGAACGAAGAAGAAGTTATGCCGAGGTTGCCAAAGAAGGTGTAGTCGACTTCTTCGGCTGACGGTCCGAAAAAAAAATACCGTTTCAACGTTTATTTTAGCTGCCTCTTTGGTTGCTGGTCAAGTCAATTAACTAAATGGTCACTCAGTTCCTTCGTGGCCTACGTCCTTTTCATTGGTCCCCTGACAAATTGCTTGCTACACTATTCTAACTCTAATCTTGCTCCATAACACTAGCTCTAAACCTAACCGGATCTCCTTGCTTAACGATCAACGCTTTTAAACCCCTATCTTGATCCTCTACCTCTAACTCTAGAAATATTACGATCCCTAGGGGTCATCAATAAAGGACGTCACGCTTGTTTTGACGATTTTTACCTCCCCCACTTCCCCTCCGTCACACTTCGTCACAAAAAGCCAGACCCCCCCCCCCCCCCTTAAAATGACGTCACACCTCAGCCTACAACCCTCTCAAAATTGCTGTTGAATTTTTCTTAAAGAATCGATATGTTTCCAAAATCTTGTCAGAACTCTGTTAACATTGAGTATTTTGATCAGTTTCTATTACAATTTATTAAAACCGTTTTCTAAAACGAGAAATAACGGCACTAACTCGTTTTCGAACATTGCTTTTTTATAATTAAAAAATGTGACGTCACACCATTTCAACCCCCCCCCCCCCCTCTCCTCCCTCTCATCACACACCCACCTCCCCCTTACTAGTGTGACGTCATTTATGGACGACCCCCTATTAATATTAGCAAGCAATAAAAGATGGATATGGTGTATCCTAATTATGTTTTTACAAGCTTTTATTTAATTTACTTCCTCTGTCTGTCGTCAGTCTGTCGTCAGTCTGTCGTCAGTCTGTCGTCAGTCTGTCGTCAGTCTGTCGTCAGTCTGTCGTCAGTCTGTCTGTCTAGATCGAAACGGCCGTGCAAAATTGCAGGCACTTCTAACTGACAGATACGGTTCGTAATTTGTACGTGGGTCAAAACATGAAGACAATGCATCGTGACATTCAATTTGACTTAATTGGTCGCCTAATTATTTTTTTATGAATTAATTAAAATTTGGACCGAATTAGTAGGCAGTTCTATCTACACGATCGCTGTTTCAGTCGCTTTACTCTTCTCGCTCCTAACCAACTCACAATGTCCGGACGTGGTAAAGGCGGTAAAGTCAATGGAAAGTCCAAGTCTCGCTCCTCGTTCAATACTTTAAAATATAACTTTAAATATAAAAAAAATTACTATTTATATCACTATAAATAGTAATGCATTAGTATATTTAAAGAAAGTATTTTTTTTATAATTAAAGTAACCGCAGATTTATTATATTTTTAAAAATTATTTTATATTTAATAAAAACTGTATTATTTTTTTTCTTTTTAGTGCATTTATAAAAGCTTGTAATTATTAACGTTTTTATGTATTTATTTATTTTTTGCTGGTGGACGTGATGTAATATACAGGGAAGGGGAGGCTATAATTGCAGGCCGGTTCTTAGTTTAGAAATGATCGAGGATTATTGACAGAGGTAATACCTTGCTCCCAATATTCACATGTGGTTTAAATTACAGGGCGGGGGAGGATAATTTCTGGTGTGTGGGGAGGGGAGGGCGTGTTAAACAACTGTCGTTGAATTATACCGATGTGTGTAGTATGTAACTAGTGTAGTTACTAAAATAACTGATTTCGTTGTAAACAAGGACAAGGTCAAGGCTAGAAATGGAATGAGTTATTAATAGTTATTATGAAACTGTTGTGACGTAGCTGATGCTACTAAAAAAATAGGATTTGACTCGTAAACTTAAAGACAAATGGACAAGCTATTAATAGAGACTATACACACGTCGAAATATGCGAAATAGAATTCTATTCTATGCGAAATAGAATACTTTGACCTTGATAGACATTATTGACAAAACCGGATGTACATCTGGGTGTGACTGGGTATATATAAGGAGCACCCCCCCCCCTCAAACTTTCGATTTGCAACCCCCATCAAACTTTCGATTTGCACCCCCCCCTTTCAAGTTTTTCTCTATATATTTTGCTATTTTTTTGCCTTGGTGTCACACCCCTAAATGGTGTCACCCGGTGCGGTCCTCACCCCCCGCCCCCCTCCCCCCACTCGCTACGCCTCTGGAGCGACACTTTTGGGTAGATGTAGAGATCGAAGATGTGAGCTGAGAGACAGATGTATGCAGGGAGCGAGACAGAAGATATGAGAGACAGAAGATATGAGAGACAAGATGTGAGAGACAGAAGATGTGAGAGACAGAAGATGTGAGAGACAGAAGATGTGAGAGACAGAAGATGTGAGAGATAGAAGATGTGAGAGACAGAAGATGTGAGAGACAGAAGATGTGAGAGACAGAAGATGTGAGAGACAGAAGATGTGAGAGACAGAAGATGTGAGAGACAGAAGATGAGAGAGATAGAAGATGTGAGAGACAGAAGATGTGAGAGACAGAAGATATGAGAGACAGAAGATGTGAGAGACAGAAGATGTGAGAGACAGAAGATGTGAGAGACAGAAGATGTGAGAGACAGAAGATGTGAGAGATAGAAGATGTGAGAGACAGAAGATGTGAGAGACAGAAGATGTGAGAGATAGAAGATGTGAGAGACAGAGGATGTGAGAGACAGAAGATATGAGAGACAGAAGATGTGAGAGACAGAAGATGTGAGAGACAGAAGATGTGAGAGATAGAAGATGTGAGAGACAGAAGATGTGAGAGACAGAAGATGTGAGAGACAGAAGATGTGAGAGACAGAAGATGTGAGAGACAGAAGATGTGAGAGACAGAAGATGAGAGAGATAGAAGATGTGAGAGACAGAAGATGTGAGAGACAGAAGATGTGAGAGACAGAAGATGTGAGAGACAGAAGATGTGAGAGACAGAAGATGAGAGAGATAGAAGATGTGAGAGACAGAAGATGTGAGAGACAGAAGATATGAGAGACAGAAGATGTGAGAGACAGAAGATGTGAGAGACAGAAGATGTGAGAGACAGAAGATGTGAGAGACAGAAGATGTGAGAGATAGAAGATGTGAGAGATAGAAGATGTGAGAGACAGAAGATGTGAGAGACAGAAGATGTGAGAGATAGAAGATGTGAGAGACAGAGGATGTGAGAGACAGAAGATATGAGAGACAGAAGATGTGAGAGACAGAAGATGTGAGAGACAGAAGATGTGAGAGATAGAAGATGTGAGAGACAGAAGATGTGAGAGACAGAAGATGTGAGAGACAGAAGATGTGAGAGACAGAAGATGTGAGAGACAGAAGATGTGAGAGACAGAAGATGAGAGAGATAGAAGATGTGAGAGACAGAAGATGTGAGAGACAGAAGATATGAGAGACAGAAGATGTGAGAGACAGAAGATGTGAGAGACAGAAGATGTGAGAGACAGAAGATATGAGAGACAGAAGATGTGAGAGACAGAAGATGTGAGAGACAGAAGATGTGAGAGACAGAAGATATGAGAGACAGAAGATGTGAGAGACAGAAGATGTGAGAGACAGAAGATGTGAGAGACAGAAGATGTGAGAGACAGAAGATGTGAGAGATAGAAGATGTGAGAGACAGAAGATGTGAGAGACAGAAGATGTGAGAGACAGAAGATATGAGAGACAGAAGATGTGAGAGACAGAAGATGTGAGAGACAGAAGATGTGAGAGACAGAAGATGTGAGAGACAGAAGGTGTGAGAGACAGAAGATGAGAGAGATAGAAGATGTGAGAGACAGAAGATGTGAGAGACAGAAGATATGAGAGACAGAAGATGTGAGAGACAGAAGATGTGAGAGACAGAAGATGTGAGAGACAGAAGATATGAGAGACAGAAGATGTGAGAGACAGAAGATGTGAGAGACAGAAGATGTGAGAGACAGAAGATATGAGAGACAGAAGATGTGAGA